TCGTGCAAATGGTCATATTCCTACACTTACATATACGTCAGACCCTTTCTTGTACCGTCCTTTATCTACTGTATCTTTATCTTCACAATATGATTCAGGAGCAATCCAATACTCAGTTCCCATGTTAGGCTTGCTGTCATATGTCGTAGAATCCTCCTTCAATATTCGACTAATGCCAAAGTCAGCTATCAGAAAGTTGTCTTGTGAGTCTCGGAGAACATTGGAGGGCTTTAAATCACGATGAATAATAGGATTTGGGCCGCTATGAAGATCAGCTAATCCTTGCAAAATTTGTCTAAGAATTTCGGGAAGAGCTTTTTGAAGATCATGTAAAGTAGACGATTCTACGAAACTCTCCAATGATTCTTCGCATAAGTCTAATATCAAATATACATATTCTGTTCCAGTCTTTTCCTCCAGGAAAGAATAATTCACAACATATTTCGACTTTCTTGCGTTGAATTTATTCAAAATTTTCTTTTCATGCAGCGCAAGCTGGATGTAGCTATCTCGACGTATTTGTTTCACTGCTTTACCGTAACCATCCTTACCCAGTCCAAGATAAACACGGGTTGCACCACTTCCTTTGCCAATGCAAAACTCTTCTGAGAAAATTGCTCGTACATTGCCCACCACTTTAACCTCATCACTGGAATTGCGTCCATATTCAATCAATTTTAAAAACAATTCTCTATGTTTCATCGATTCATCGATGTATTTCCACTCTTGCAACACCAATTCTAAAAAAATTAGATAAGACATTACACTCAAGGGTGAAAGAAACGAAATAAATCCGTCGAAAAAGCTTAAACTTTTCCAATCAGGAAAGGATATTATTACCTTCCATACATTTTTAACAAAACTTATCAACAACCATTGGACAAATCATAAGTTCTTTAATTGTAAAATCAAAACTGGCAACATTTGAGGTTAGCTTATACATACAATTAATCACATAAGCTTCTTTCTGCAGTAATTTCATTTATATATTTTAGAAAATAACCTTACGTTTTTCGAAAATATTAAATTTAAATTTCGGGAGCATATTTTTTAGAGTCTAAAAATTTGTTTACAGCAGAAGATAACAAAATAGCTTCATTTAGTTTTTCTTTCCATTCTCGACACTCCTCTTTTAGATAGACTGTCTTATGTTTGATGCCAAATATGAACGTTGAAGTTCGATCAGCAGTGAAAACTCTACAATTATTCCCTCAAACCTTGTTTGAAAATCATTAAAGTGCCAAAGAAATGAAAACTTTGCCAGTTAAATTATATCTAAATTGACCAGAACTTTTGAAATGAATGTTTTCTAAAACCTTTTATGTATGACTCTTTCATTCTAAACATACTGAAGTGAAGTCCTTGCTATTACCAATTTATCTAACTTGTGACATCATATTGCATGAAAAATGAGTCGCTGCCATGTTTTAAATAAACTTCATTTTCCTGACAACTTTAGGTTGATAATAATATTTATATAATTAACACATCACAAAGAAAGAAATTCTGCAACGTTGAAGAAAAGTTTTAGCAAATGTGCCGAATAATTCTTATTCTTATTATACAATGTGATGTCACAAGTTAGATGAATCAAACATAATAAAACTTTCAATATCTTGAGAACGAAAAGAGATACGCATAAGATCCGAGAAACTTCGTTGTCATATTAAAATTTCTGTTCAATTAAAGAATATAACAAGCTGCCAAATTTTTGTTTTATAGACATTTTATGCTTTAACTCTAAACTATCTGACACGTACTGTTTCTCTTATTCACCTTGGTAGAGTAAACCTCGTTATCTTTATGTCTGCAACTTCAAGTCCTACCTCCTGTTTTTCTTATTCTCGTGCAACATTGCTGGTATTGTTTTACCTTTGCCAAATTAAAGAAGGTTTTTGCAGTTTTCAATTATTTTATACTAATCTTATGATGATTTATTTACAGGAAACAATTTGTCTGACATGTGTCTATTGTGTCAGCGTTTTGGTTATCGAGAAAATTTCCATTTTGATAAAAATTTTTACTAAGGTAGAAAAGGAATCATGCAATTCAATAATTTTTTAACACCACAAAAAAAGTAAGCGATTTGAATTCGTATCATATCTTTCAGTCCTTTTGATAAAATTCTTGTCTGTTTTAGAAACATGTGAAAGAAATCATGATGTTGTAGTGCTATGGTATAATAGAATTGTCAAGATAAACAACACGAACGATGCAAGCAAATGATCGAACTTCGGCTTCAAATGTTGTAACATCTTTTTTGTATTTAATGTGTGATGCAGAACATTTCAATTGTCTTTGGCTACCACAATCACGTTTTAGTATGTTGAAAAATTTTCTCGCATAAAAGAACGCTCCTTCGGAGATCTCTTACAAATAAAATTAAAAAGAGCAATTGACAAAATCTTTTGCATAGTTTCACATAAAATTTTCAGATCAATTTTACATCTAGCATTCTGCCTGTCTATTTCTTGATCTATTTGTTTATTTATATTTGCATTACATTTAATGTAGACTACGTAGGCTTTCACAAGAAATCAGTCGAGAACAATTGAAGAAATGAATACACCCCTCTCGCACTCATTAAACGCTCTAGTCTCGGTCCTCTATACAGCGGTCTGTGCTACATTATCTGAGAAAACATAATACAGTCATTGTGTTCTGTAAGTTTTATTTCAGCAGTAGCGTTAGTAAAAACCCCATCACCCACCACACTAAGATTTATAGTTTTATCTCTAAACAGTAGAGATGCAACATTATTTGAGCAAACATGATACAGCCATTGAGTTCTGTAAGCAATATTTTTGAGGCAGCGTTATTAAACACCCACTCCCTCAAACCCACTAAACGTTATAATTTCGGTCCTCTATACAATCGTCCGTGCTATCGTATCTTAGAAAACATAATATAGCTGCTGAGTTGTGTAAGCTACATTTCATTAGCAGCATTATTAAACAACCCCTCCCCAAACCCAATAAAAGTTATAGTTTTGCTCCTCTATACAGTGGTCAGTGCTACAGTATCTGAACATACATGATACAGCCATTGAGTTCTGTAAGCCATATTTCATCAGCAGCGTTATTAAACACCCCCTCACCCACCTCACTAGTAGTTATAATTTTGGCCCTCTACACGGTGGTCAGTGCTACAATATCTAAAAACATAATATAGCTGCTGAGTTGTGTAAGCCATATTTCATCAGCAGCGTTATTAAACACCCCCTTCCCCACCACACTAAACGTTATAGTTTCGGTCCTCTTTACAGTGGTCGGTCCTACAATATCTGAGAAAACATGATACAGCCGTTGAGTTCTCTAAGCGATATTTCAGCAGCAGTGTTGTTCTTGCTTAATCGACTGGTTTAAGTCGTAAGTGGCTTGAACTGATTCACGTGCACTTTTTAATGGAGATCATCAAGCCATTTGACAATCATCAATTAAGAAACTGTTTGAATCATAAATGAGATTTTTGGAGTCACTTACTCTTTTAATATAGTCGAAATAATTATATTTATTTATTTTGAGATCAGTGGGAGTAATTTATTGAAATCAATGAATGAATCCGCCGTTTTTCTGTTTTGTAATTAGCAACGTTATTTGTTTATCGGTTTTGGGAAATTTTCTAGTAGAAAAAACTGATACAGCAACTTTTATGCTCTATGCAACTTTCAAAATGCAATTCTAAGCTAGTAAATGACCTTTGTGGACATTTGAATGATGTTCACACTGAAGAGGTAATCTCCAGTATACTTAGCAAAGAGAGAGCTCAAAAAAACTTGTAATTTTCTGGAAATTTAGAATTTAGAAGATCGTTTAATAAATGTGCAATTTACTGCTACATTATTCATAATAAAAATTGTAAATAGCCTTCATTTTATTATGGAACTTTGAGAATTCACATCGTCAAATTTGCTCATTTTCATTATGATTTTGTTGTATTTTTGTTACAATGAACAAGAATTCTTATTTATTGAAGTATATTGAGCAAGTCCATTTAATGGTGGCCCTTCTTTGCCTGATTTTCAATGTTATTAGCTAGGAAATGTATGCATGGTGGTGCAAACATGAAGTATGACAGTATATACAAAAGATAGTTTGTTGAGAAGTTTTTATGATTAAACAAGCAGAATACAAATAAACGTTACATTAAAAAATAAATTGCATGATGTCATTATCACTTCATGTCTCGTCTTAATTTCAAATGACTGATAATGTGCTTGAAGTACAAATTCTGAAGTGACAAGATTTTACTGTCATGGTTAAAACAGATTAAACCAGCTGCAAATGTTACCATTCAGTGTTGCTTAGACATGTGTAGAAAAAATTCATATATCTTATAACATTTGTTAATGTAAAAGATTGATTGAAGACTGTATTTGTAATCAAACACGTAATCCTATTTCTTGGATGGAACTTATGAAGTGTAGTCAATTTGAGCACTTTATAAAAAGAATTACGTCACTTTGCTGCTACGCAGTATTTAGTGAGTTAAGCAAAGACTTGTCAACTTGTGCTGAGCACTGCCGTCTGGTGCAAAGTACATTTAAATTATTCGTCGTTTGCAAAAGGAAAATTTAAGTCATTGATACAGTATTGAACATAAAGAAATAAACGAACGTTTGGAGTTTGAAAACGAAACACTATAAATACATCATTATTAAGTAATATAAATCTTCACAAAAACACATTTATACTAATCAAATGGCTTCATTTGTGATACATTGCAAAACAAATGTGTTAATTGACAAGAATACAAGAAAAAGCTTTCAAAGTTTAGAACATTTTACAGGACGAGAAAAATTTACCCTTTGTTTAACATGTCCTGCCTTATGCTCATCTACGACGATATATGAAACATCCAGCGCAGAAGCTTATGGTTCATGGAAATAAGACTTTCATTCCCCTTCGTTTAACTTTCTTGTACATCGTTACTATCATAATTTTACCTCAGGTTCGTTAAGTTCATTGGGAAGAGAATAACAATACAAGACAAGTTCCTACCTTTATTTATCACGGCTCCCTGTGAGTTTTCTTCGTCGACATTCAGCTTCCACTTCGAATTTCTGTTTCCACTTTCTTTCACCTCCAAATATCCTTTAGCAGGAAAATTTACTTGAATTCTTTTAAAGTGATGAACAACAAAACCATCGTTATCAAGCTTTGAAATATCTATTTTAAAAGTGTATGAATCAAGCTCCTCTTCCTGAAAAGTAAGCTGTATTTCATGATTTCGATCAGTGTTGATATAGTTGATATCTTCATTGTTATTATTTACGTGGAAGTCTTCCCAATCTTTGGCCAATTTTATCATTGGAGAATCTCCTAACTTTTCACGCACGAAAGAGGTCACAAAGACAACTTTAATATCTAATGTTCCCATTTCTGATGATCTTCGATGGAATACATAGGCATAAGATGGAAAAAAATGGTTGAGATGACATAAAATACGAGGAATAAGTGAACGAAAAGCTTCGATGAAGCTGTACCAAGAAAACTTTGTAATGTTTAACAAAATCCTCGATTCAATCAAATCAATGTCTTCCACCTGTTGCCATTCTATTTTTTGCTTATCATTCGAATAGGATCCATAAAGAGCAACAATCTTTTCCAAAGCTGTTTCTGAGAATCCTCTCTTCCCATTGATGTTAATTTGCAATTGAGCAGGTTTTAAGAAACGTAGGCCGTTAGGAAGACATTGCAGATGACATATGCTACTTTGAAGAAGTTCCAAGTCCAGCAAACTTTTGATGTAGCTTGGATTGTTAACCTTGACCAACTTAATCATTGTACTGTCTTCTAAACAGCCAGGACCAATTTCAAAGATAACATCCTCCATCATTAAATTGCCACCACCAGAAGTGACAAGTTTTTCCACTTTACAGGACGTCTTCTTTGTATCTAAAAATTTTAGGTATTTATATTCTTCAACTCAATCTCATTTCAATGTTTTCAGAAGTTTACTAATTTGAAAAGGTCTCGAATGAAACAGAAGGTTTGATATTAGGCTAACTGTATAACTTGAAAACAAAGAATTAAGAATCCAACAACTAATATATCAACATTGTATCGTATAGAACAAGTCATTCACTTAATAAAGCTTTTTTAGGTATGTTTTGCATTTTCATCGATAAACAATTACGTCAAAATTTAATTATTTAATTATTTGAAATTAGAAAATAGTTCCAAAGATTGCAAATACCATAGTGAATGGTAAAAGTAATATAATAAGTTCATAGTTCTTAAAAGAACTATTTTAAGTAAAGAGCACTAACCCAATAGTTCTAAATTATATGACAAGATGCATTTTGGCAGACTACTCCTTAGGTTTCAACGTCTGCTAAATGAAAATTTACAATCTACCGATATTTATAATGGCAAGGAGATGACGTACACTCTTTCTTTTTATTATAAATATCGGTAGATTGTAAATTTTCATTTAACAGACGTTGACACTTGAGGAGTAGTCTGCAAAAATGGATCGTGTCGTTTGATTTAGAACTATTGGGTTGGTGCTCTTTACTTAAAACAGTTCCTTTAAGAATTATCAACTTACTATATTCCTTTTACCATTCACTATGGTATTTGCTATCTTTAGAACTACTTTCAGATTTGTCGCCACGACAAAGTCTCTATTTTACTATTTGAAATTATGGTACACATGTAGGTTTGCATACACAACTCAGTATAGTTATTCTATATTATATATAAATAATGATTGGATGAACCGCTAGTAAGATATATGAAGGTTAGCAATATTCAAATACATATATGTATTCTAAAATCCGCAGAAAATAAACGACTCCGAAAGTAATTATTACAGAAAACATTAGATAAATATTTGACACCATCCCCTAATTATCGCACTGACAATCCCTCAGTGAATTTTCACATGAAGAAACTTTTTTTTTATTTTGATTTTTACTATCCTTCTTACAACGAAGGAAGAATTTAATGTTTTCTGTAAATTTAGACTTTAAGAGATCGTTTGATAAATGTGTAATTTTGTGTTACATTTGTCATAATGAAAATTGTTAACAGCCTTCTTTCTATCGTCGAAATGGCTCATAATCCATATGATTGTGAGGTATTTTACATACAATAAATACGATTTACAATGTCATTAGCTAGGTAATGTAGGCATGGTGAAGCAAATTTATTACAAATTCATTATCAGACTGAAGTTGTGATTATCACCTCATGTTTCATTTTAATTTCAACTGACTGATAATGTGCTTCAAGTACAATTTTTAAAGTGAGAAAATTTTACTTCAATGGTTAAAACAGATTAAATCAGCCACAAATGTTACCATTCAGTGTTGTTTAGACATGTGATGAAAAAAACACATATATTTCATAACATTTGTTAATGTAAAAGGTTGATTGAAGACTACATTTGAAGAAAACTTTTATTAGAACTTGGACTTAGTGATGTGTTTTTAATTGTTTCAAAACTTTCGATGTTGTAGGCCAGGAGGGAGCAAAAAACATAATTTCTATCTGGAAATAAAGTTATACTCTGACTAATCACCTGTACTCAAATAAAGAAAATAGTAATTAATGTATTCAAACACGAGCACTTTAAAAACAGATGGTCTATCCTGAGCACTTCTAAAATGCAGGGTCTGATCTGTATGGTGTACATTATGTCAAGATTGGTTTCAAAGGGTTTTAGCCTATTTATTATAATCCTTTTTCTTCAATGGAACTTATGAAGTGTAGTCAATTTGAGCACTTTATAAAAAGAGTTGAGCCACTTTGCTGTTACGCAGTATTTATTAAGATAAAGAAAAACTTGTCAAGTTGTGCTGAGCACTGCCATCTGGTACAAAGTACACTAAAATTATTTCTCGTTGGCAACAGGAAAGTTTAAATCATTGATACAGTATTGAACATACGTAATAAACAAACGTTTGGTGTCCAAAAGTGCAACACTGTATACGTACATCATGCATATTATTAAATAATATAAATCTTCATAAAAACACATAAATACCAATCAAATGACTTGAATTGTTATACAATACAAAACAAATATGCTTAGTTCATGCAATATATATAAAATAAATTAGAATTGAAAGGCATACCTTGTTTTGTATTTTCAACACCAGGAGAATTTCCGACATCTTTAGCATCAGCATCATCACCACTTGTGATTTCTACGAATAATATTTTAAAAAGCGTTATCCCCACAACTATGATATGGTATGGCAAGTGTGACATCAGATAGATCGAACATAATAAAAACTTCAATATTTCGAGAATGAAAAGTGATATGCATAAACTACTGCAGAAATTCCATAATCATTTCTGTTAAATAAAGTATAACACAGGTTGCTAAATTTTCGTTTCATAGGCATTTTGGGCTTTAACTCTAAAATCATTTACATGCTTTCACCTAAAAAATTTTTTTATATCATTTTTATATCTATGCATCTGCCTGTTAATTTATTGATCTATTTGTCGATTTGAATTACGTTTAATGTACACGACGTAGGCTTTACAAGAAAATTAGTCGACCACAACTGGATATATAAAAACACCCCTTCCCCCACCCCACCAAACGCTCTAGTTTCGGCCCTCAATAAAGTGGTCCGTGCTACAATATATGAGAAAATATGATACAGCAATTGAGTTTTGTCAGCGATATTTCAGCAGCAGCGTTATTAACTACCCCCTTCCCCAACCCCACTAAACGTTATTATTTTACTCCTCTATACAGTGGTCCATGCTACAATAGCTTAGAAAATATGATCCAGCCATTGAGTTCCTTAATCGATATTTCACCAGCAGCATTATACTTGCTCAATTGGATGGCTTAAGTCGTAAGTAGCTTGGTCTGATTCACGCGCAGTTTTTAATGAACGTTATTAAACCAGTTAATAATCATCAATTACGACACAGTTTGAATCATAAATGAGATTTTTGGATGAATTTGCTCTTCTAATGTAGTCCAAATAATTATATTTATTTATTTTGAAAACAATGGGAGTAATTTATTGAAATCAATGAATGAAGTCGTGGTTTTTAAATTTTGTGACTAGTAACGTTATTTGCTTATTTATTTTGGGAAATTTTCTGGTAGAAAAAACGGATACAGCAACTTTTATGCTTTTTGCAACTTTCAAAATGCAATTCTTAGTAAAAAGTATTAAAATTTAGTTCTAAGCTAGAAAATGATCGTTGTGGACTTTCGAATGATGCTCAAACTGAAGAGGTAATCTCCAGTATACTTAGCAAAGAGAGATCTCAAAATAACTTGTAATTTTCTGTAAAATTAGAATTTAGAAGATCTTTTAGTAAATGTGCAATTTATATTACATTTGTCATATCAGAAATTATAAATCGCCTTCTTTTTATTGTGGAACTTTGAGAATTCACGTCGTCAAATTGGTTCATTTTCTATATTATTTTGAGGTATTTTATTACAATGAAAGGGAATTCTTATTCATTGAAGTTTATTAATTAGAGTTTACAGTTTTAAGAGATTTGACTCCTCCAATCCCTGTTTGCTTGGTAGTCAACAGGTAGAGCGGCGGACTAGTATCCCGAAGGTGCGAGTTCAAATCTCGTCTAAGTCATGTGCATATTGAAACAGTGTTAGGTTTAATATATTATATGAAGGTAATAGCAAGTCGATTTGATGGTGGCCGTTCTTTGCTGATTTTTAATGTTATTAGCTGGGTAGTGTATGCATTGTGGTGTAAACGCGAAGTATCACAGTATATCAAAAGGATAGTTTGTTGAGAATTTTTTATGATTAAACAAGCAGAATACTATTAAAGGTTACTTTGAAAAAAATAGATTGCATGATGTCATTATCACCTCATGTCGCATCTTAATTTCAACTGACTGGTAATGTGCTTCGAGTAAAATTTGTTAAAGTGACAAAATGATTAAAACAGATTAAACCTGCTGTAAATATTACCATTCAGTGTTGCTTAGGCATGTGATGAAGAAAACTCATACATCTCATAACATTTGTTAATGTAAAGGTTGATTGAAGACTGTATTCGAAGTAACTTTTTATTAGAACTAGGATATGGTGATGTTTTTTTAATTGTTTCAATACTTTCGATGCTGTAAGCCTGAAGCAAAAAAAATTAATTTCTATCTGCAAAAAAGTTATACTCCGACTAATCTCCTGTCATCTAACAAAGAAAATAGTAATTAACGTAATCAAACACAAGCCCTTTTAAAGCAGATGGTCTAACCTTAACACTTCTAAGATATAAGGTTCGATCTGTATGGTGTACATTATGTCAAGATTTGTTTTGAAAGGCTTTAGTCTATTTTTAGTCTTTTTTCTTTAATGGAACTTATGAAATGTAGTTAATTTGAGCACTTTATAAAAAGAGTTGCCCCACTTTGCCTCTACCCAGTATTTATTGAGATAAACAAAGACTTGCCAAATTGTGCCGTCTGGTACAAAGTACACTAAAATTATTTGTCGTTTGTAAAAAAAAATTTAAGTCATTAATACAGCATTGAACTTACGTAATAAACAAACGTTTGGAGTCCGAAAATGCAACACTGTATACGTACATCATGCATATTATTAAATAATATAAATCTTCATAAAAACACATAAATATCAATCAAATGACTTGAATTGTTATACAATACAAAACAAATATGCTTAGTTTATGCAAAATATATAAAATAAATTAGAATTGAAAGGCATACCTTGTTTTGTATTTTCAACACCAGTAGAATTCCCGACATCTTTAGCATTAGCATCATCACCACTTGTGAGTTCTGTGAACAATATTTTAAAAAGCGTTATCCACACAAGTTGTGTATTTTTATTTTGACAACAAGTAAAAAAGTTGAATTAACAGTTAGTGCTTGAAAAGAAATAACACAAATTAATTGGAAAGTTTATTATTAGTAAGTTTATTAGGCATATGATGATTTATTTGAAAGAAACAATTTGTCTGTCATGTGTCAATTGTGTCAGGGTCGTGTCATTGTGTCATTTCTATTTTTAGGAAGTTTTTGCCCAGGTAAAAAAGGAATCATGAAATACAATAAATTTTTCACCCAACGAAAAAAGTAATCGATTTGAATTCTTATCATAATTTTTAGTCCTTTTGATAAAATTCTTGTCTGTTTTAGAAACATATGAAAGAAATTATGATATTGTAGTGTTAAAGTATAATAAATTGACAAGATAAGCAACACGAACGATGCAAGCAAATGATCGAAAATCTAGCTTCAAATGTTGTAACACCTTTTTTGTATATGTTTGCATTTTATGTACGAGGCAGAACATTTTAATTATCTTTCGCCAACGCAATCGCCTTTTACAAATTTCAAAAAGTTTCATGCACAATACAACGCTCCTTTTGAGCTCTCTTATAAATTGAGTTAAAGAGAGCAATTAAGCCAATCATTTCCATGCTTTCAAATAAAAATTTTCATCTCAATTTTGTATCTATCCATCTGCCTGTCAATTTATCGATCTATTTGTCTATTTGAATTGTGGACTTCTATACAGTAGTCTGTGCTACAATATCCAAGTAAACATGATACAGCCATTGAGTTCTATAAGCGATATTTTATCAGCAGCGTTATTAAAAACCCCTCCCCCACCCCACTAAACGTTATAATTTCGGTCCTCTATATATTGATCCGTGCTACGATATCTGAGAAAACAAGATACAGCCATTGAGTTCTGTAAGCGATATTTCATCAGCAGCGCTATTAAACACCCCCTCCCCATTCACAATAAAACTTATAGTTTCGGCCTTCTATACAGTGGTCAGTGCTACAATATCTATCAAAACAAGATATAGCCATTGAGTGCTGTAAGCGATATTTTAGCAGCAGCGTTATTAAACACCCCCTCCACAAAGTTATAGTTTCGGTCCTGTATACAGTGGTCCGTGCTACAATATCTGAGAAAACATGATACAGCCATTGAGTTCTCTAAGGGATATTTCAGCAGCAGCGATTTTTGAAAAGCCTTCCCAGCTCCACTAGTAGTTATACCTTCGGCCCTCTATACAGCGCTCAGTGCAACATTATTTGAGCAAACATGATACAGCCATTGAGTTCTGTAAGCAATATTTTTGAGGCAGCGTTATTAAACACCCACTCCCTCAAACCCACTAAACGTTATAATTTCGGTCCTGTATACAATCGTCTGTGCTATCGTATCTTAGAAAACATAATATAGCTGCTGAGTTGTGTAAGCTACATTTCATTAGCAGCATTATTAAACAACCCCTCCCCAAACCCAATAAAAGTTATAGTTTTGCTCCTCTATACAGTGGTCAGTGCTACAGTATCTGAACATACATGATACAGCCATTGAGTTCTGTAAGCCATATTTCATCAGCAGCGTTATTAAACACCCCCTCACCCACCTCACTAGTAGTTATAATTTTGGCCCTCTACACGGTGGTCAGTGCTACAATATCTAAAAACATAATATAGCTGCTGAGTTGTGTAAGCCATATTTCATCAGCAGCGTTATTAAACACCCCCTCCCCCACTTACTAATAGTTATGATTTTGGCCCTCTATACAGTGGTCCGTGCCACAATATCTAAGAAAACATGATCCAGCCGTTGAGTTCTGTAAGCGATATTTCAGTAGCTACTTTATTCTTGCTCAATCGGGAGGCTTAAGTCGTAAGTGGCTTGGTCTGATTCACATGCACTTTTTAATGGAGGTCATCAAGCCAGTTGACAATCAACAAATAAGGCATAGTTTGAATCATAAATGAGATTTTTGGACTCACTTGCTCTTCTAATAAAATCCAAATAATTAAATTTATTTATTTTGAGATCAGTGGGAGTAATTTATTGAAATCAATGAACAAAGTCGTTGTTGTTATGTTTTGCGATTAGTAACGTTATTTGCTTATCTTATTTTGGAATATTTCTAACGGAAAAAAAAGATACAGCAACTTTTATGCTCTATGCAAAATCAAAAACTCCAAAATCATTTACATGCTTTCACCTAAAAAATTTTCATATTAATGCTACTATATCTAAGAAAACATGATACAGCCGTTGAGTTCTGTAAGTGATATTTCATCAGCAGCGTTATTAAACACCCCCTCCTCCAACCCAATAAAACTTATAGTTTCGGTCCTCTACATAGTGGTACGTGCTACTATATCTAAGAAAACATGATACAGCCGTTGAGTTCTGTAAGTGATATTTCATCAGCAGCGTTATTAAACACCCCTTCCTCCAACCCAATAAAACTTATAGTTTCGGTCCTCTACATAGTGGTACGTGCTACTATATCTAAGAAAACATGATACAGCCGTTGAGTTCTGTAAACGATATTTCATGAGCAGCATTATTAAACACCCCCTCCTCCAACCCAATAAAAGTTATAGTTTCGGTCCTCTATACAGTGGTACGTGCTACTATATCTAAGAAAACATGATACATCAGTTGAGTTATATAAACGATATTTCAGTAGCAGCGTTTTTAAACACCTCCTCCCCAAACGCAATAAAAGTTGTAGTTCTGGTCCTCTATACAGTGGTCCTTGCTACAGTATCTAAGAAAACATGATACAGCCGTTGAGTTCTGTAAGCGATATTTTAGCAGCAGCGTTATTCTTGCTCAATCGGGTGGCTTAAATCGTAAGTGGCCTGAACTGATTCGCGTGCACTTTTTAATGGAGGTCATCAAGTCATTTGACAATCATCAGTTAAGACAGAGTTTGAATCATAAATGAGATTTTTGGAGTCACTTGCTCTTCTAATATAGTCCAAATAATTATATTTAATTATTTTGAGATCAGTGGGAGTAATTTATTGAAATCAATGAATAAAGTCGTTGTTTTTATGTTTTGCGATTCGTAACGTTATTTGCTTATCTATTTTGTGAAATTTTCTAGTAGAAAGAACTTATACAGCAACTTTTATGCTCTATGCAACTTTCAAAATATAATTCTGAGTAAAAAGTATTCAAAATTTAATTCTAAGCTAGAAAAAAACTTTGTGGACTTTTGAATGATGTTCACACTGAAGAGGTAATCTCCAGTATACTTAGCAAAGAGAGAGCTCAAAAAAACTTGTAATTTTCTGTAAATTTAGAATTTAGAAGATCGTTTAATAAATGTGCAATTTAATGCTACATTTGTCATAATGAAAATTGTAAATAGCTTTCTTTTTATTGTGGAACTTTGACAGTTCACATCGCCAAATTGGCTGATTTTTACAATCCGAAAAATTTTTACAATATATATTTATGGTAGTAATGAATATTTTTCTAATAATACTTTTCCCTCTTCGATATCAAGTAAATAAAGACTGGTGAGAAAAGAAATGATGTCAATATCACGGAAAAATATTATGCAATCAAATTGCTATTGTACAACGATCACATAATTTAAGTGTAATAAAATAATCACTAATTTATCATACGACGTTGAAGTAAAGTAGTAGGACGTGAAATAATTATGATGACAGAAAAGAAACACAATTGTTAATGTCTGCTCCGGGATAACACAATTCTGACAACAGACTTCTATGCTGAACTGAATGACTAAGATATTCCCACTCTTGCAACTGCCATTCTTCAAATGACATAAAAGTATTAAATTCAGAGGTGAATGCTACAAAACTAATCAAATTCATAAGAATAGGTACCTCAAATTTACTCAAATACGCTTACAATTTGGATAACGACTTTAAATTTTTGTAAAATCTTAGCACCAATCATTAAAGTTGTCAAAATTTAATCAATCATGCAAACATATATCTGTTAAGATTAAAGGCAAGCGACACAGGAAAATCCTGTGTAGAAAAATTAAAGTTATTTGAAGCATGTAGCTATTTCTTATGCTTAAGTTTATATTTTATAGTGGAAGATATAACAAACGGCTTTGTTTCAACAAACGATTTTTTCACTCTTTTGCCTTTTAGATGAAGTCTCTAATCTTTGCTACTAAACTTTTAATAAAATGACAGATTAAAGAGTCTTTACTTGTCCAACCTCCATGCTCTGCCATCTGTCCTATTCCCAATGCCACTATCTCAAAACCATACAACAATGTTGGTTTTTTACTGTCTTGTAAACCATTCTTTTCATATTAGTTGAAATTGTTTTGCCATTTAACACAAGAGACTGTTTTCTCCAGCCCATCCACATACACTCTCTATCAATCTGAACTTCTATTTAGTGTAACCTCATTACTCATTTCTCTACATTCTAGAGCATAATTCTCTTCTCCGTTGCATGGAAACGTTTGGCCTATAGTTAATTTGCACTAACCCAAACCGTATGAATAGATAGTGTTTGTAAGAAAATTGCTAAAAATGAGCACTTTCATAATAAAAGCTAAGACTTTGTCCTTCATGATGATAAACAATTAGAGGTTTCCCTTGTCTTCCTTCAGTGTATTCATACACCTCCTATTCTTTGGTTTTTCTCAACGCTTCTAACTATGTACATAACTGATATTTACCTTCTCCCTAACCACGTAGGCCCTGTTTACACAAGACCAGAAGGAAGTCAAACAGAAATGAAAATCAGAATTTGTTGCATGTTTACATGGGACCGGCACGAAACAACGAAAAATCCTCATTCGCGTAATTCCTCCTTTGCAGGCTAATTTTACACTTGCTTGCCATTTTGCTTTTGTAAATTGCTTTTTTGATGCCATTTCAGATCGGTCTGAACATTAATTGGCGTTTACATTGACGCCGGTTTCAATTCATACCGTTATGAACTTAGTCGGATCAGTTCAGCAGGCGGTACGACTTCAGACTGCTCTGAGTTTTTTTCGTATTGATCCCATGTAAACATTTACTATAAATAATATTATGACGACCGACACAAGCTTGTGCCGTGGTTTGACTTCGTTCCGGTCTCATGTAAACAGGGTCTTACTCTACTCTATGTCTACCTCTTATTTTTCAAACATGCTCTTCTTGTGTCTTTTTCATTTACATACATACATGCATTCTGTGACTAATATTCATTCCTTATTTCTATGGAGCACTGTCAACAATATTTAAGACAATCTTGCTGCAAATTACAAGGAAGTTCTGCTTAGAAACACGAGTAATATTTTGCATGTCACGTGGTACCTAGAAACGGTGAACATTGCGTACATAATCAAAGCCACAGTGTAGTGGATATACAGTGGAGCCATTCCATTAATTTTTCTCGTGCAACGCATATCTTATTACGCATGTGATTACCATATTGGCAGCAGTCAATTGCTTTTTTTGATCAATAAGAATGATAAAATGGCTAACAGCAGCCAATAATCTAATTAAATATACAGCAGCAAGTTGTACAAGATATTAACCTACTGTACATTCCCTATACTGTTCACAGCTCTATCATATATTTTCATACGGAATGACTGTTTTGACTTCAGAAATTTTCGAGTATTGATGTGTTCTTAGGGCAGTTTAGTCACACTTTGTGATGTAAGTTGCTTCTAGTTAATGATCTTGGTGTCACGTAAAAAGAATTGGGTTGGCTATATGACGGCGTAGCTAATTTAAACATTCAATCTGATATAACGTTGAATATGATGCAAAATTTCACTTTTATTGTGCACGAAACTTTAAAAAACATACTTTGTTACCAGTTTCATTATTTTTCATCAATTTCGTATGGCGAGAATTGTTGTTAGAAACACACAAAGCACATAATGTTTTGACGATCGTTTCCATCCACATTATTCAGTATTCATATTTTCTAAAGTCGATTATGATTGACTACAGAAGCTAGCAACTATATAACTAACAGAACCACTGCCATTTATAACAAAATTAAAAAAGATATTTGTATCATAAAATGGCTAAGAGAATACCTGAAATTTTTCTAGCAAAAACAGTCAACGCTATATAAGAATATATGATAGAGCTGTGACGATGTATGCAATGTTTACAGTTTGTACTTTAAAATTATAAATCGCCTCCTTTTTATTGTGGAACTTTGAGAATTCACATCGTCAAATTGGTTCATTTTCTATATAATTTTCACGTATTTTACTTATAATGAACAGGAATTTTTATTCATTGAAGTTTATTGTTTAGAGTTTACAGTTTTAAGAGATTCGACTCGTCTCCAATCTCTGTGGGCTTGGTAGCTCAACAGGTAGAGCGGCGGACTAGTATCCCGAAGGTGCGAGTTCAAAGCTCGTCCGAATCATGTGCATATTGAAACAGTGTTGGGATTAATATATTATATGAAGGTTACTAAGCAAGTCGATTTCATGGTGGCCGTTCTTTACATGATTTTTAATGTCATTAGCTGGGTAGTGTATGCAAAGTGGTGCAAACGCGAAGTATCACAGTATATCAAGAGGATAGTTTGTTGAGAATTTTTTGTGATGTTTTTTTAATTGTTTCAGTACTTTTGATGCTGTAAGCCTGAAGCAAAAAAAGTTAATTTGTATCTCGAAAAAAGTTATACTCCGACTAATCTCCTGTCATCTAACAAAGAAAACAGTAATTAACGTAATGAAACACGAGCACTTTTAAAGCAGATGGTCTAACCTGAACACTTCAAAAATGCAGGGTCTAATATGTATGGTGTACATTATTTCAAGATTTGTTTTAAAATGTTTTAGTCTATTTATTTTAATCCTTTTTTTTCTGGAACTTATGAAACGTAGTCAATTTGAGCACTTTATAAAAAGAGTTGCCCCACTTTGCTGCTATGCAGTATTTATTGAGAAAAACAAACACTTGTCAAGTTGTGCTGAGCACTGCCGTCTGGTACACAGTACTTTGAAATTATTTGTCGTTTGCAAAAGGAAAATTTAAGTCATTGATACAGTATTGAACATACGTAATAAACAAACGTTTGGAGTCCGAAAGTGCAACACTGTATACGTACATCACGCATATTATTAAATAATATAAATCTTCACAAAAACACATAAATACCAATCGAATGACTTGAATTGTGATACAATACAAAACAAATATGCTTAGGTTATGCAATATATATAAAATAAAATAGAATTGAAAGGCATACCTTGTTTTGTAATTTCAACACCAGGAGAATTTCCGTCATCTTTAGCATTAGCATCATCACCACTTGTGATTTCTACGAACAATATTTTAAAAAAGCGTTATCCACACAAGCTGTGTATTTCGATTTTGACAACAAGTAAAAAAATGAATTTACAGCTAGCGCTCGAAAAGAAATAACACCATTAAATTGAAAAGTTTTGGATAGTAGCTTTCTAAAACTATATATTACGTTTTTTATGACTGACATTTTCAAGTAATAAAATGACCTTACAATTTGAAATATTGAGGGAGCAGTATATATTTTCACGTAATGAGCCAGCTTCATTAGCCGTAAATTTACAAATAAATGCAGATAAACAAACTTCATGAATTACGACTGTTAAAGAGTATTTTGGTAAAACACAAGACAATAGGCACTTTGTATATAGTAAACATTATTTATCTAGATTAAATAATGTTTATTATATGCGGAGTGTCCATTGTCTTGTGTTTTACCAAAACGTCATGATGCAAACAGCAAATATTTTGTAAAACGAAAATAAGAACAAAACAAAAAACCATGGTATGAATGTAAGTCAAAAAAGAACACTCGAAAAGTATATACAGAATATAGTAAACATTATTTATTTAGATTAAATATCTGAGAAAACGTAATTCAGCCATTGAGTTCTGTAAGCGATATTTCAGCAGCAGCGTTATTAAACACCCTCCCCCTCCCCACTAAAAGTTTTAGTTTCGGGCCTCTATGCAGTGGTCCGTGCTACAATATCTGAGAAACCTGAAAAAGCCATTGAGTTTTGTAAGCGATATTTAGTCATCAGCATTTTTAAACACACCTCCCCCACAACACTAAAAGTTATAGTTTTAGCGTTTTAATACATTTGTTAATGTAAAAGGTTGATTGAAGACTACATTTGAAGAAAATTTTTATTAGAACTTGGACTTGGTGATGTTTTTTAATTGTTTCAAAACTTTCGATGCTGTAAGCAGGGGCGTAACATTTTGGGGTGTGTGGGGAGGGGGTGTGTGACACTCCTTAATTGCTAAAAACAGTGTTTTGCAGGGCATATTGCCGTCATGTTTTAGGGAGTAGAAAAATTGCCATACCATCGAAAACAACTAAATGATTACTAAGTGGAAATAACAAACCTTCATTTTTGACAATTTTGGCTTAATTCTACAGTGCAATGTGTCTATGAGATGTGCAAGATGAAGTAATTATAAACACAGATGCAGATTCCGCTTGATACAATGATTGCAAATTTAAAAAAAATGCTGATGCTAATTTTCGCATTGTCGAAAGCCGTGAAGCGAGCTCCAATCCAATAAATTCATCAAATTCTATGCGGTTTTGTATATTTGGCGAGAAAGACTATATTTCAATGGAAGGCTGGTTTTATTCACCGAAGTTTGTAGCCCCACAATTACCGAAAGAGAGTTGGGAGTTTATTGCATGCTGTCAATATTTTCATGTTTACTCAATTCTAATTTAAATGAAATTTCTCTTAAGAGGGAGGTGCAACTAGAATTAAAGATGGTAACGTTCAGGAGCCTCGCGCAAAAAAAACCAAAACCTCAATGCATACGATTTTATAGACGAATGGTTAAATGTAAAGATTGTAGTGCAGAAATGAATGCTAATAATTTTTTGAAGCACAGTTGAAATAAACACAATGCTATGGCAAAATCCCAAGATGTTGTAGAAGCATCATAAACAACGCTTAGTTTTTCTAAGGTTAGTAAAATGTCACTTACTTACGTACATAGTAAATAAAATGAAAATCTTTAGCATGCCTTATAGCTCTCTTAGAAAATTGCTGGTTAGTTCTGTATAAGTGCCGTTCAATTTATGTGAAATAATTAATAATTCGTGTTGCACAAAACTTTGTTATTCTGCTCTCTTGCAGCAGCAACTATCTCTGTTATTGTGAAGGACACTCATACCATAAAGTTTTAACGTGTTCTTATTTATTTTAGATCCTTCCAACTGCCCCCGTTACATGTGATAGCATTGATGAAATGCATGAAGGAGAAGTTAAAAGTGTAAAACAAAAATTTTGTAATGATACTGATATATCACAAAAGGTTACATTCATTCAAAAACTCTGATGATTTGTAAAACTGTAATAGCACATTTGCACATATATACCCAAACCCTAACCGTACATTCAGTGTCCCAAGTGCAGGAAACACCATTGCACTTTGGTGTTAGCAGGGAGGGCACATTGTATATACACTTTGTGTATATACACTTGTTTATATATGATTTATAAAAACACGTGGATACAGCAAGAAAACAAACAAAACTACAGCATCAAGAGGGAATTCATCAAACAACTTCCACCTCCGAACACAAACCGAAAAACCTGCCATGTTTGTTTTGAAAAAAGACTACTAATCCTAATAGGAAATAAAAAGGAAATTTTAAATAAACGCTCTGAACTTTTTAGTGCATGCCGTTGTTGCAAATTATGTTAAAGTTGTGTTGCGTTCAATTGTACATTCGGGTACGCCGGGGACGATAAAGAACATTATAGAAAACGTGGGTGGAACGGAAGTAGAGAGAGTAGAGATCGGAAGTGAGGGAGGCGAGACAAGCGGGAGAAGCGATATACTTTGAGGAATAAGAATAAAAATTGTTTAAGAAACCAAAGTTGTTATTGTGATTATTTCTTCGTGTTCCGAAGACATTGGGACGGAGGTCAATTTTCGGAATACCGTCGTTAATTTAACATCTCGTAACGAATTGTATATACAGTGAATAATAAATAATCTGTCAATTGCCTGAGTTTCGCCCTACTGCATGAAACTCCGAAAAAATTACAGCTATTGTCTATTTTATATATATATATATATACAAAGTGTATAACAATGTGCCCTCCCGGCTATCACCATTGTAAAATGGTGACTCCTGCACTTGGGAAACAGGACGTAATTTTAAGAAATGTATTTTTTTTAATAAATTACATTTCTTAAAATGTTGCTACTCGGATAGCCTGGGTTTCATGCCAAAGCAATCTTCAGGCAATGTATCGTTTTCTAACGTTAAATATTGTTTGTTAAAAATGCTACTTTGCAGGAAAACCTTGAAGTGGCATTAGAAGAACACAATGTATGCCAGGAAATATTTGAAATAGATAACAAAATAAATGAAGTTGATTCAGAGGAAGAGGAAAATATGGATGTGGTTTGTAATACCTGAGTATGACGTTAAAATAATTAAATTAACTTTTTAAAATGTTATTTCTAAAGTAATTATATTTTGGTATTTTTTAGGTTGATGAGGAAGAATCTGTTAACGAACAAGAAGAGGGAGAAAAATCTCACCTGTCATGGGAAACTTGCGTAGCTGCATTAAACATATTGCCTGAAAATGTTAACCACTGCAAAAAAACTGTCACTGAAACGTTGTCCTCAGAAATAGTCTTTACTCAAGAAATTGTAATGCATGTCCTTGAATACGTAAAGAAGATTAGTAACATGGCCATACTTTTACAAAGCAATTAAGAGGATATTCTCCAAGCTACACTGTATTTGCACTGAGAAATCTCAAATTGGTGTTTTGGAAGAAGAAAATGATCTTGGGCTGCTGCTTGATCCCGCCGACCGTCCAAAACTTTTGACTGATCTTTAGAAGAAAAAAATAATTGAGAATGGCCCATACCAACCAAAGCTCAATCATAACCCTGAGAACAGTAACATTGCGCAACACAAACAACGTATGTTTTCATCAATTTGGTATAAAGAATATCCCTATTTAGAGTACAGTATAAAGGTGGACTATGTATCCTGTTTTGTTTGTGCTCTTTTTCCAAGTGGACCAGGAAGAAAGAAAGCGTCAGATGCCTGGGTTACTGGAGTTCGATCATGGGAAAGGATGAGAAGCGGGGGTAAAGATAAAAAAGGAAAGATGCAACAGCATTTCTTTTCCAAATCCCACAAAATTGCTTTGAGTGATTTGGCACATTTTGCCTGCAATATGAAAAACGTCGATGTAATGTTGGAAAAGAAGTTAAGAGATGTAAGAATACAAGAAGAAGAAAACAATTTGCGAAACCAAGAAGCCATAAAGATCCTTTTAGACATCGCAAGAACATTGGCACGACAACAGCTAGCTTTCAGAAGGCTTGATGAAAAGCACGAGGGAAACTTTATCCAAATAACAAATCTTGTTGCCAGGCATAACCCTAGACTTCAGTCATGGCTGTCTAACAAAAGCATGAAACCTTATTCAGTAAAATACCTATCACCTATTTCACAAAATGAGTTTATTAGCCATTTGACTGAAGATGTAAGGAATAGCATCGTAAAAGATATCGTTTCATCTGAAATATACTCAGTCATGGCCGACACGTCTCCTGACACTTCAAACACGGACCTCTTAGTGGCAGTGCGCTACGTTGACGAAAACAACGTGCCAAACGAGAGAGCACTGGAGATGAAAGAAACAAGGAATAAAACAGGTGAAGGCCAAGCAAAAGAGATTCTTGATTCCCTTAAATCATAATTACCTATTTGTCACGAAGAGTTAGTGTATCAGTCTTACGACTACACAGCTTCAATGTCTGAGACTTTTAATGGAGTTCAACAACATTTGCAGGAAGTGGTTGGACGCAACATTCCATACATCCCATCTCAATGCCATAGGTATGTGTCAAATGCACAGTATTAAACATTTCCGTTTAAATTACTTAGGCATTAACTATATCTTTTTAAATATTTTTAAGACTAGCCTCTGCGTTGAATAATTTCTCAATTTTATGTTTTTAGATGAAACACTTTCAATGAGCATTGCTCAAAGGCCTCTACATTTGTTGAGATGTATAGCTTGCTCAAAGATCTGTATGTTTTTTCAGCAGAAGTTGTAAACGAGATTCTATGTTGCAAGAACATATGGAAAAAATTGAAAATGCTCTTAAATTGCGCAATCTCTCAATAACGAGATGGGTGTATAGAAGTGAATCAATTGAAGCGGTATGGAGATCTTTTGAAGCCATACGAAATGCGTTTGTGGACATAGCAAAAATTGACAACTTATTAACCAGAACCAAAGCAGCCTCGCTCTGTAAGAAAATGGTGAAATTTGAGTTTGTTTTTGCAGTTATGTTTATGAGGTTTATCATGAGAAAGACCAAGATACTGACAGTACAGATGCAGAAGCCAGAGCTCAATATCTTTGATGGTCTTCAACTGATTGATGAAGCTGTTAGATCACTGGAAAGAATACGGAACACTGAATCCAAATTGAATGTTCAAATAGATGCAAGTGTTGAGTGTGCGAAGTCTCTAGGGTCCAATCCCGAGAAAGAGTTTGCTAGAAAGAGTAATAAAAGATCAAGCAGACTTTTGGATGACAGCCCTGAGACTTTGGCAATTATGTCACTAAAAACTAACTATCGAAAATGCATAATTGAGGTCCTCAATTCCCACATCAGAGAATATTGAGAAAACATAAAAAGTTGTTTGCAAAATATAAAACCTTTCGCTGTTATCCTTCAGCCTTCACTGACTAAACCAAATTTTGAACAAGTTGAAAAGGTCACCGAACTTTTTCTTCCAGCAATTAGCGTAGATTGTATGTCACTGTATGCAGATCTTGGGATTTTTGTTAACTTTGTAAATGAGAAAGAAGAAAAATGTAAGACAGTCCACGACGCCGGAAACACTGCTTTCGAAAATAAAGAAATTTTCCCAAAAGCTTATAAATGTTACAAACTTCTGTTTACTGCTCCAGTAAGTGTGGCTGATATTGAAAGATCATTCAGCAAAATGAAAACTGTCAAGAACTATTTGCGCTCAACAATGAAAGGTGAAAGGCTGGAAGAACTCATTGTCCTCTCAATCGAGAAGGATTTAACAAATACAATTCATCTGAAGGTAGTACTAAAATCTTGGGCAGCCAGAAAAAACCGTAAACTCAGAAAAAAATTTAGGTAAAAAGCAACACCTCAAGAGTACGTTGAGATAGTTCTCACTTAAGACTCTTGATATGAGAACAAATATACATTGTTTTACTGTTACGTCCGAAATGGCTTAGGTTTATATTTGGGCAACGCCCTATTGCAGGGCAAACTTCCCCAATAACTTCAAGTCTAGTTACGCCCTGACTGTAAGCCAGGAACAAAAAACATAATTTTCATCTTGAAATAAAGTTACACTCTGACTAATCTACTGTACTCAAATAAAGAAAATAATAATTAATGTAATCAAACACGAGCACTTATAAAACAGATAGTCTAACCTGAGCACTTCCAAAATGCAGGGTCTGATCTGTGTGGTGTACATTATATCAAGATTGGTTTTAAAAGGTTTTGGTCTATTTATCATAATCCTTTTTCTTCAATAGAACTTATGAAGTGCAGTCAATTTGAGCACTTTATAAAAGAGTTGCGCCACTTTGCTACGCAGTATTTATTGAGATAAAAAAAAACTTGTCAAGTTCTGCTGAGCACTGCCGTCTGGTACAAAGTACATTTAAATTTATTTGTCGTTCAAAAAGGAAAATTCAACCCATTGATACAGTATTGAACATACGTACTAAACAAACGTTTCGAGTCCGAAAGTGCAACACGGTATACATATAGATCTTACATATAAAAAATATAAATATAAAAATATACATATAAAAAATATAAATCTTAAGAAAAACACATAAATACCAATCAAATGACTTGAATTGTGATAGAATACAAAACAAATATTCTTAGTTTATGCAATATATATAAAATAAAATAGAATTGAAAGGCATACCTTGTTTTGTATTTTCAACACCAGGAGAATTTCCGACATCTTTAGCATCAGCATCATCACCACTTGTGATTTCTACGAATAATATTTTAAAAAGCATTATCCACACAAGCTGTGTATTTCTATTTTGACGACAAATAAAGAAATGAATTTACAGCTAGAGCTCGAAAAGAAATAACACCAATAAATTGAAAAATTTTGGATAGTAGCTTTTTAAAACTATATACTTCATTTCGTTTTGCCCATTAGCTGCAAAATCTCATATACATATATTACGCACTGTTTTACATGACTGACCTTTTCAAGGAATAAAATGACCTTACAATTGGAAAGATTGATTGGTCAGTATATATTTTCAAGTAATGAACCAGCTTTCACCAGACGTAATTTTACAAATATATGTAGATAAACAAACTTTATGAATTATGACTGCCAAAGAGTATTTTGGTAAAATACAAGACAATAGACACTTTGTATATAGTAAACATTATTTATCTAGATTAAATAATGTTTATTATATACGGAGTGTCAATTGTCTTGTGTTTAACCAAAACTTCATGAAGCAAACAGCAAATATTTTATAAAACGAAAATAAGAACAAAACAAAAAACCATGGTATGAATGTAAGTCAAAAAAGAACACTCGAAAAGTGGGTTTTATTATCTAGGCGACACAATTTCAAACTATATATTTTCTCCTTGCAAAAAGTAGAGGAGTGAAAGCCAGTCTTTGCTAAACAGAATGGATAAAAAAAGGAAAGAAAATTTCATGTCAGGTCAAATAATACCATATAGCTAATTGATTTTTTATTAACCTCGCCTGCTCGGTCTTTATTGAGAAATCTTGGACTCTGTTTTTAGCACAAACCTTGCCCTAAGGGTCTCGGTCAGTACAAATAACTTCAGTCCGATATTTCTACGTAAAGACCTCACACTCGGTTATTAAAAGCGTTATAATGAATTCAGACATTGATAAGTGTTAACGAACTGTTGTCGCCAATCTCTGTCGAGTATCTTAGTAATTACAAGAAAAAGTTGTTAAAGTCCGTTGTTGTTGACTGTCTGTTTTGAGGACAAGGAAACTATTACAGTTTTATGCAATTTTATGCAACCTGTCAAAGAACGAAAATTGTAAACAGACACAGACATTAACACATTTTTTAGCGTTGTTGTTTTATTACTGATGGACTTAAAAGAAAACTCTGGAAATATTTTAATCATACATTGTCGTTATACACAGTATATATTTATGTTCAAAAGTTTCCTAAACAATACGCAAGCACCCAAAAGCGTAGAAAATAGACGAATTTTGTTTCTAAACAGAGCAAATGAATCGTTGCCTAATTAATAGCTACTTCGAACTTCGAATTCATTTCTCGTTGACGATTCTTTCCTTTAATGTATATGGAATCTTTGCCGAATAACTCAATTTGTTGAGAAGGCTGTATGTCCTTACGGAGTTAAGGTAATTATTAGAGATAAGTCAAACATAGATATTTTATCGCAAAATGTGGCTTGTTTACTCCTATCTCAGAGCAACACCTTAATAAAGTTAGGGAAACATCCTTCAGGAAACATAATGACTGTAATTGAATACATAATTTTCACAGAGCTGGGTTTGGTGAAATAAAAAGTCAAAGACTCAAAGTGTGTTTAAATTTTGATACGTATATATTGTAAGACGATATTTAAATGTATGCTTTAATGCTATGAGTCACTTGAAACAGACACCAGGTATATGGAATATTATTATCTCTAAATCGGTGCAATGTTTTATTTGAATCTTACAACTAACAATAAGCTTATAGCTGTTATAAATCTTGAGCAATGTTTGTTTGATGAAAATGTTTTGTTTCCATCTCACTGTTCTTTAGAGCTGGTTTTATGTATATGTTTTTAGTTTATAGGTAGATTTTTGAATTATTCTTTTTGTTGATTAATGTAAATATGAATCTCAACTGCGTTTCAATTATTGCTTTGGCTCTTTTGTTTGTCTACAACCAAAATGAATGACCCAGTCCTCACATAAAACAATTTGTATGTCAATCAACCACTTAAATCTAGGACTTTAAATTCATGATGGACAACTTTTTTGTATTATACTATGAAATATGTATGTATTCTTAGCCGACTGAAACATATTAAGAGTCATCAATAAGCTACGGATCTCAAATAGTTGGAGTTAGACACAAAAAACAAGAATTGAATTTGACGTTAATATTATATTGCCTAAGCCATTAATGTACCTATTGATTTGATAGATGCATGACTTTGTGCCAGTATATTTTCCCTAAAGAGCTGATTCTCCAGTTCAGTCATGTCTATATTTAGACTTTGGTTAATAGTTACAATATTCTCAGGAACTCCGTGACAATTACGAGTTAGAACAACACCTGTGGTCGAGACATCAATGCAGAAAGCTTCATCGTCAAAAGTTACACGTTTTCAAGCTTATTTTAATAATCAAAGTGTCCAACATTTAGTACAAGAACGGCAGAATACATTTGATTACTATTTATATTCAATATGGCTGTCAGCGTTAACAAATATCGTCGATGAAATTTATGACAAAACTGCGTTCTCCAAAGATTTATTGAGCAATATTTGTATTTATAGTTATCTTTTTGATACTTTTGCCAAATTTCGCGGAATAAAACGCGTTTTTCGACACAAAATTTAACAAAAGTGATGCTTCATGCTGGCATTTGCTTTCAGTAATATAATGGGAACATCGAGGTGGGAACATCTTATGACGTTACGATCCATTTGTAAAAATTCACATCTGGCGGCGAAGTTTAGCGTTAAAATTAAATAGCTTATACCAAACCAAAGATGCTCAAACATACACCAAAATGTTTCTAAGAATCTATATTTTTCATTTGGCGAAAAAAGATGGGTTGAAATTTGGCCGGAGTTGCACTTTTACAAAATATCATTAACGCAAATGAGACACCAACATTATGTTTTATATAATATCTATAAACTTACCAAAATATTTTGATGACAGAGAAACATGAGCATGACTTGGAACAGGAAATTTACTCTGACTTTTTTAAGACTCATATTTTTCAGTTTCTTCGTACATCGTACGAAGCTTACTCAAAGACGCAGTGACATAAGTATGGTCCTTACCTGGCACATTCAGTTTTCGAACTTCTAGAGATTTTTCAAAAAACTTTATAGCTTTGTCTTGTTTTCCTGTTTTTTCATAAAGCAAACCAAGATTGTTTAAAGATGCAGCGACATCAACATGATTTGGACCTAACGATCGTTTTCGAATTTTAAGAGCTTTTTCGTGAGCATCTATAGCTTTGTCGTACTTTTCAGTTTTATAAAACACCAAACCAAGATTGTTTAAAGAAACAGCAACATCAACATGACTTGTACCTAACGATTGTTTTCGAGTTTCTAAAGCTTTTTCGTGAAACTCTTTAGCTTTGTCGTATTTTTTAGTATCATAATACACCATACCAAGATTGTTTAAAGAATCAGCAACATCAACATTATTTGGACCAAACCATCGTTTTCGAGTTTCTAAAGCTTTTTCGTGAAACTCTATAGCTTTGTCGTATTTTTTAGTATCATAATACACCATACCAAGATTGTGTAAAGACGCAGCGACATCAACATGATTTGGACCTAACAATTGTTTACGAATTTCTAGAGCTTTTTCATAAAACTCTATAGCTTTGTCGTACTTTCCAGTATCATAATACACCATACCAAGATTGTTTAAAGATGTAGCAACGTGAATATGATTTGGACCTAACGATTGTTTACGAATTTCTAGAGCTTTTTCGTAAAACTCTATAGCTTTATCGTACTTTCCAGTATCATAATACACCATACCAAAATTGTTTAAAGATGTAGCAACGTCAACATGATTTGGACCAAAAGATTGTTTTTGAATTTCTAGAGCTTTTTCGTAAAATTCTATGGCTTTGTCGTAGTTTCCAGTCTTTAAACAAACATTACCAAGATTGTTTAAAGACTGAGCGACATCAACATGATTTGGACCTAACGATTGTTTTCGAATTTCTAGAGCTTTTCCGTGAACCTCTTTAGCTTTGTTGTACTTTCCAGTATCATAATACACCATACCAAGATTTTTTAAAGATGTAGCAACGTGAATATGATTTGGACCTAACGATTGTTTACGAATTTCTAGAGCTTTTCTGTGAACCTCTTTAGCTTTGTCGTAGTTTCCAATTGTATAAAACACCAAACCAAGATTGTTTAAAGAAACAGCAACATCAACATGATTTGAACCTAACGATTGTTTTTGAATTTCCAGAGCTTTTTCGTAAAATTCTATAGCTTTGTCGTAGTTTCCAGTTTTTTCAAACACCAAACCAAGAGTGCTTAAAGACTGAGCAACAGCGACATGATTTGGACCTAACGATTGTTTTCCAATTTCTAGAGCTTTTTCGAGAAACTCTATAGCTTTGTCGTAGTTTCCAGTTTTTTCAAACACCAAACCAAGATTGTTTAAAGAAACAGCAACATCAACATGATTTGGACCTAACGATTGTTTTCGAATTTCTAGAGCTTTTTCGTGAAACTTTTTAGCTTTGTCGTAGTTTCCAATATTATAATACACCTCACCAAGATTGTTTAAAGACTGAGCGACAAAGACATGATTTGGACCTAACGATTGTATTCGAATTTCTAGAGCTTTTCTGTGAACCTCTTTAGCTTTGTCGTAGTTTCCAGTTTTATAAAACACCAAACCAAGATTGTTTAAAGACTGAGCAACATCAACATGATTTGGACCTAACGACTGCTCTCGAATTTCCAGAGCTTTTTCGTGAACTTCTTTAGCTTTGTCGTAGTTTCCAGTTTTTTCAAACACCACACCAAGATTGTATAAAGACGCAGCGACATAAACATGATTTGGACCTAACGATTTTTTTTGAATTTTTAGAGATTTTTCGTAAAACTTTGTAGCTTTGTCGTACTTTCCAGTTTTATAATACACCATACCAAGATTGTTTAAAGACTGAGCGACATCAACATGATTTGGACCTAACGATTGTTTTCGAATTTTTAGAGCTTTTCCGTGAACCTCTTTAGCTTGGTCGTAGTTTTCAATTTTATAAAACACCAAACCAAGATTGTTTAAAGACTGAGCAACGGCGACATGATTTGGACCTAACGATTGTTTTCGAATTTCTAGAGCTTTTTCGTGAACCTCTCTAGCTTTGTCGTAGTTTCCAGTTTTTGAAACACCAAACCAAGATTGTTTAAAGATTCAGCAACATCAACATGATGTGGTTCTAACGATTGTTTTTGAATTTCTAGAGCTTTTTCGTAAAACTCTATAGCTTTTTCGTAATTTCCACTTTCATAAAACAAATTACCATGATTGTTCAAAGACTGAGCATCATCAACATGATTTGGACCTGACGATTGTTCTTGAATTTCCATAACTTTTTCGTGAAACTCTATAGCTTAGTCGTAATTTCCATATTGCGTAACTTGTGTTATTTAATGCGATGAATTTGCATATATCAACCTTAGCGTCAACAACTTAGCATCGACGAAAGAAAATAGCAACGTCACAACGATAAGCAAAATTCTTTAGCTCCATTTAAAATGTGGACTTACTAAATTGAACAAGCGATACTATAGTTTATGACAAAGATAAACACACTTGTTGATTAATATTTCTACTTCTAAAACGACTTATATATCTAATTATTCATTGATGACATGTATGTGTCGATTTGCGATTTTAAAGAAAATGTACTTCGTGGTGAGTCATAAAAATTAAATATTCTTTAGAAAAAATCTTACCTTGTTTAAGATGGCAGTGATTTGTTTTTGGTAAGCATATTGTTCTTGTTTGGAATTGTAACTTCGTTTGATTTATCTACAATTACAGAATTTACAAGCTTCCTTAGGTCAAATTTATTCGTCGTAATCAAGAAGAAAATTCTTTGTTTTTTGTCTTACAAACCTTCTACTGGTTAAAGGCGTGTAGCAATGAACAGTTGAACTTTTAGAAAGATTTAAAGTTCTGACAACTTAAGCATCATATATTCTTCCTTTGAGTTGATACGTGGAAAATTATTTTGTGCCACAGAATTTAAAACATCTTAAGAATAGATTGCTATGTAAAGCAAAGATATGGTTTTATGATTTTTACTGTTTTTGTTCATTATTTTGATTATAATTTGGAACAAATTTATTAATAGAAATAAGTATAAATTTTACTAAAATATACCGTTTTTAAGATATTTTGGAAGTATGACCATAAAGTGGGAGTGTTAAAAAGAATTACTAAGTTGCAATACTCACACCTGTTTTTAAATTTATTGTAAATATAATGCGATGAATTTGCATACATGAATCTTCGCAACCAAAACTTGACGAAAGACAATTGCAACGTTAAAAAGGTTAGCAATTTTTTTAGCCGCATTCAAAATGTGGACATACAAACTAGTTTATTGCAAAGATAACACACTTCCAGATCAATATTTTTACTTCTAAAACGACTTAAATATCTAAACTATTCAATGATTACATGCATGAGTCCATTTGCAATTTCAAACTAAATTTTCTTCCTGATTCATAAATGTCATTTCATGCTATCACAAGTATAATGAAATAACACAAATTTTATAAATATACCGTCCGGACCCAAAGATAAATATAATTGCATGCTAGCAAGCAATTTCAATTCCTTAGCAAGCAAGCACATCATGACAAACACGCCTTCCTTTAGATGACAGTGATTTTTTGGTAAGCAAATTGTTTGTATTTGTAACTTTGTTTACAAGTTGCTACGGGTATCTATGATGTATATTTTATAGTACCAGGTTGAGACTAATATTTATTAAAATTGTATTAATTATATTTGACGAACAACTTTTATTTAAGATCTCATTTGTACATCGTTTACACACACAATAATTCTTTATCTTTAGTGTTACAAACCTTTCACTGGTAGACGGTTGAAGCTTCAAACATTCGATCTTTCAGATCTCTTAACGTTCTGATAAGTTAAGCGTCAAATGGCTTCGCTCGTTGAGTTCATACGTGGCAAAATATTTTGTGCAACTGAATTTAAAACATTAAAAGTTAATTGTCATGTAATAGCAAAGATACGGCCTTATGATTTTTATTGTTTTTATTAACATGCTTGAATTTTATTACCGTTTCCTTGGTATTTTGGGAGTTTGTTAAAAAAACCTTAGCTCCATAATTAAGAGTTGGTCTTATACATGAAAACATATACACCACCTCCATGTGGTCCAAAAGCTCTGTTTTTACAAATTAGAAATCAAAGATTTTCAGTTTTTTTTATTTAATGCTATGAATTTGCATGTATCACCTTAGCGTCAACAGCTCGACGAAAGATAATTGCAACGTCACAAAACGACTAAATATTTAAAATATTCAATGATGACATGCATGAGTCCATTTGCAATTTCAAACCAAATTTTCTTCTTGATTCATAAATGTCATTTCATACTATCACAAGTATAATGAAATAAAACATATTTTATAAATATACCGTCCGGACCCAAAGATAAATATAATTGCATGCTAGCAAACAATTTCAATTACTTAGCAAGCAAGCACGTCATGATAAACACGTCTTCCTTTAGATGACAGTGATTTTTTGGTAAGCAAATTGTTTGTATTTGTAACTTTGTTTTCAAGTTGCTACGGGTATCTATGATGTATATTTTATAGTACCAGGTTGAGACTAATATTTATCAAAATTGTATTAATTATATTTGACGAACAACTTTTATTTAAGATCTCATTTGTACATCGTTTACACACACAATAATTCTTTATCTTTAGTGTTACAAACCTTTCACTGGTCGACGGTTGAAGCTTCAAATATTCGATCTTTCAGATCTCTTAACGTTCTGATAAGTTAAGCGTCAAATGGCTTCGTCCGTTGAGTTCATACGTGGCAAAATATTTTGGGCAACTGAATTTAAAACATTAAAAGTTAATTGTCATGTAAAAGCAAAGATACGGCCTTATGATTTTTATTGTTTTTATTAATATGCTTGAATTTTATTACCATTTCCTTGGTATTTTGGGAGTTTGTTAAAAAAAACCTTAGCTCCATAATTAAGAGTTGGTCTTATACATGGAAACATATACACCACCTCCATGTGGTCCAAAAGCTCTGTTTTTAAAAACAATGTTATACTCAGATATCTCAAGATTACAAGTATCATGTAAGCTATGTTTCTGCGAAGAACACTACATCGGGTTTCTTGCTTGGCAGCGAAATCGCGAATTATTTTGAGCTTTTGTTAAATGTAAAGCTTAATTATATATGCAAAATGCACTTCCGGTTACCCACTAGAGATACGAATTACTATAGGAATGTTTGGCGGATAACGTTTACAAACAAGGATTTTCGAATATTTAAGAGATTTGGCGACGTTTTACTTATCTCAAATGTCTGTCATGGATAAATAAAGTTATTTAAATCAATGTGACATCAAAATTATTTCGATACCTGTAAAATATCGGCGTTCGTGTTTATTTGAAAATCGCTCGTGCAAGAATCGAATTTGCCTAATAGTTGTCAAGACAAGATAATGCGCAGCTCACTTTCCAAGTTTAGAGGCAGTTATGATCTAGAATATGTTTCAATGCGTAAAAATTGTGGTAAGTACCTTTATTTTTTACATTCTTCATAATCTAGAGATTGTCGTATGTTACTTTTTCCGTGACTTTATGAGTCCGGGTATATTGGTGTAGGAACAAACAAATTTACTAAGCTTAGTTTGTACGTAGTTTTAATTTCTATTTTTATTTTATAAAGATAATATCACTACACCTTGCTACAGCATTTGGATATGGTTTTCATCAGTGCGTATGGTTGTTATTGTCATAACATGCAGGGGCGGATCTAGGGTATGTCAAATCATTCACCCGACTGATGTTTATAGTTCAAAAATTACTTATCAAATTTAATGATTACAATTTTTTGTGATCATTGAATTCTCGATGTATAATCGTATGAATTTCATTGTCAAAATTCTGTTTTATATCTGAAATCTTACGTAAATATCACGTTTTAGCATATCTAGAATTATATTAACTGACTGACTGATAAGCGGTGATGATTAATACATTTTAACATGGTGTTATGGGATTATGCGATTTACAAAATGTTTTTGATTCAGAATCCCGTAGCCTTAAACCTTAAAATAGTTGTACTTTCTATTGCAAATCACAACAGTTTTTAAACTGTGATATAATTTTACAAAGAGGTAATTGAATGTTTATTCATAACAATGCATGGTTGCTTTATAATACTAGTAAGTATCGTTTGTCCAATTATTGCATTCAAGACAATATTTAGTTTACAACCCACTTTTTTATCTCTTAGATTGGTTTATTAACTTAACCTATTTCTTTAGTAAGCTGCAATGTAAGTTAAATTATTTTTATTTAGTTTCTTAGAACATTTTCCATTGCTGTTGTTAGCAAGTAAACTATAATGTTATACTTTAAATTTTAGGGTTATGTATAAATTAGGTATGGTACATGCATGTAAAGAAGAGAATAAGTTACAAATTAGGTATAGGAGATATATAAGTTACCATAACTTGTGAATGAGACTTATCATTTTTTTATTAAAACATTTTGCTAAATATTGTGTTCTCCAGCACTTAGGGATAATGGGTTGTAACATTAGGATATGTTTAAATCAATCAAAAATAAATAGAGTGACAGTTAAATTTTATTATTTATTTTTGTTCATATTATAATAAAATGTGACCAGGTGCAATACAGAAAAAACTGGATTGCAGCTAATAGAGCTTTAAGATGCATTAGAACGTTAATCATCTTAAAATCTCTTTAATTGTTGATTGACTTTTTTTGTTTAAAAGTTCTACAAAAAATGTATGGCCAGTGTTGTGTGCCATTTTGAATATCAAACCTGTTTAAGTGTTTCCTATTGTCCTAACATGTGGTGACTCCAAGCCAAAAGACTTGGAGTTTTTGGATGAGTTTATAGAAGATTTGAAGGGTATTCTAGAGAGGGGAGTCCAAGATGGAGAAAAGGTTCTAACTGTTACAGTAAGGGGCATTGTTTGTGATGCTCCTGCAAGAGCACTTGTTGAAGGTACAAAACTTTGTACTGGTTATTTTGGTTGTGACAAGTGTACACAAAAAGGGAAGTGGCTTGGTCGAGCGACTTACTCTCAAAATACTAATATAGAATTACGCACTAACATTTCCTTTAGAAAGCAAATGCAAGAAGAACATCATTGCTTTGTAAGCCCTTTCTGTCACTTGCCTGTTGATATGGTAAAACAATTTCCATTTGACTACATGCATCAACTGTGTCTGGGTGTTATGGATAAATTGACTATGGTTTGGATGAGGGGAAATCGTGCTGCTAAATTGTCTGTTGCCCATGTAGAGGCTGTTAGTAAAAAATTGGTGGAGCTTAAACCATTTATCCCCTCAACATTTGTGCGAAAACTTAGGAGTTTAATGGAGGTTGAAAGATGGAAAGCTACAGAATTCAGACAGTTTCTTTTGTATACAGGCAAAATTTCTTTCAGCCGTCAATGAAATCTTATCAACAAATTCTAGAAGTAAGTACTGTAGTTGCAATGCAATAAGCCATTGCTTTATTCAAAGGATTGCAGTTTTTCACATATTGCTATGTTGCATTTAAATCTAATGAGTGATTTTGCTTTTTAGATTTTCGGTGTACAGCGAGCTGATCTCCCTTGCAGAAAAAGGTATAAGCGCTATTATAATCCTTGTACAAGTGGACAATTTTTTGACAGAAACATGCATGTATAAAATTTCTGTTCTCATACTAATATAATGTTGACCTAGATTTATATGACGGTGAACTAGCACCAGAAATCCTAAACATAAAGGATCATGCAATAACTTCTCCATCTACTAATAGGACACCATCTCAGTGTAGTGGTAAGTTTTCTGTCATCAGAACTGACTAATCAGCAACTTTCATATAATATGTCGACAAAAATGTTAAAATAATTTTGACTGATTCTTCTTAAATAACTTTAACATTTGTATTGTACATTTACTGTTTTTGTACGCCCATCGTTGCATTATAGGGCTTATGAATGTTCTACAGGTGCTGTAGGCGTTGGTCCTTTAAAATGTTTTTGTAATTAGTTGAAAAAATGTTAGTTATAGTTAAAATTGCAGTTGTGTTCACCGCGATTTTATCAAAATACATTCGTTCAAAACTAATTCTCAGTGTTTGCTATTAAACTACTAAATGAAAATTTCTCGAGATTTTTATTTTAGTCACCTTTCTGTTTCTGACTTGAAACTTGTAGTGCCTTAATATAAATGACGTTCGTGCGTTCAATAAAGATATATGTTAAACCAAGTACGTGTCTTCTCTGTAGATACAAACAACGTCTCTTCACAAGAAATTCCTACAACTGGCACAAAAAGAGAAAGACATTCTCAACGAAACAGTGATGTCTTAGGCAAGCTTTTCTTACAATTCATTATTGCATGTCTTGTTGCTACGTTTTCATTTACGTTCATTTCGTGTCGTTTGAAATGTTTTTTTTTTCTTCACAACTAACTGCAACACGTAATTGCTTTGCAGATGCGCATGACCTTTCGTCGCACGAAACGCCTTCGACAAGTTTTATGAACATAACACCTGCAGGAAGACGTTCTCAACCAAACATTATTGGTACCTTTTCTACAGTATATAGTTTTTGAATAGCATTGTTATTATGTATGCGTATTCAATTAGCAATTTGATGGGAGTTTTATTTGAATTTTCTTGTTAACATGTTGTAAGGTTTTATATTTTTAAGATATTACGTAGGTTATTCGGAAATTAAACTTTAGTTCGTGTCATTGGAAAGGCTGTTTTATGATTTCACAAATAATGCACCATTAATTGTATGTTGTATGAACGTCAGATAAACGTTGTATGAACGTCGGATAAACGTTGTATGAACGTCAGATAAACGTAGTATGAACGTCGGATAACCGTTGTATGAACGTCGGTGGTTAAAATTTCACCTGTATGGTCACATCACTCTCAATGGGGAAGACCTGCGTACAATAATAAATAAAAAATTAACTTACCATACTTCTTGTTAAAGAGCATTCTTACATCTTCATGAGTCCATTTCCGTTTTTCTCTTGGTCTACATCTCCTAAATATAGCATACAAAATTTTTTTAGCTATACAAACTACAATTTTATACCAAAAAGCTTGCTTCGTGATTTTTCACTCTTTTCAAATGATTTAATGAAGAGTGAGAAATCACGAAGCAGGCTTCTCAATACAAAATTATAGTTTGTGAATTTTTGTTTTAAAAGAGTGCTCAATATCTTTATAGAATGAGCAAAATATAAATTTATAAAAGTAAAATAAATACTATCATGAAAGCATCAACTAAACTGTCATTCACTGGTGATTGCCAAAAGGGAGAAACACAGTGTAGCAAATGGTTTCATGATATTATATACGTATACCACTTTATCGGATACCAAAAAATACCTTAATATTTACATTTAGAAATATGCTAGTTTGAAATGGGGTTAACATTTTGCAACAATACGTAGCACAACATTATAGTAAAGCTCTGAAACTTAGTCATATGTATCTACTTGACGACTATCCAGTAACTGGTTTCCATGAAACTGGTACTGACATATCAATAGAATATAAACTTTATGCCTATTACGTATTTGTGATCTTTGCAAATTTTTTACTCTTTACCAAGCATTGCTTGAAACTTGCACAAAACTGCTGGTTCATTGTGAACAAATCTTTTTCCTCCAGATGAACCAAGGACATAAAGTTCTTTTTTACATTCACCAGTAAGCAGCTGGCCTGGCAACCAAGATTCTCCAAGTAACTGAGCTAAAAGAAAACTAAAATAATTGATAATGGTCACATTAGGCATAAGTACTGCAAAAAGCTATGTATAGTTTGCAACAATATGAACTTTAACAAATGGCATGAGATGACATTTGTTTTTATTATTAATGCTATTATTTTTTATTTACTATACATAGTTTCTGTTGTTGTTGGTATTGCTATGATAATGATTATTTCTACAAATGTAATGCTATACCATCAATGCTATTGTAACGATCATCATTACTGATGTAGAATTAAACAGGATCTTTTCTTGTCCAAACACTATTCTACATATCCCAAATTATATGACATATATGCAGGGTGCGAATTAGTTTAGAAAAAACGATGTGCAATTTTTTGACAAAAGTGTTTCTATAGAGGCATAATCAAATCGATATTACGTTAATTATTATATAGCGCTAATTGCTAAATTTATATTTTTAAACATGAACAAATTCATATGATTTACGACAGTGTTTTTGTTAAAACCACTGATTTTTGCACATCGTTTGAAAAAGTGATGTGCAATTGTTTTCATTTTAGCTAAAACGATGTGCAAATTGCACATTGCACACCGTTAATTTGCACACTGCATATATGTCTGCATTACATCTGTGATTAAGGCAGTGGAGTATAAATATTGTCATAAAATATCAACAACAACAGCAACAACAATCATCTCTTCAGTGATTAATCTTCTTGGAACCAAAAGAATTTTAAAATCACTTTTCACAGCATTTAGAAACTGTATAAACTTTCAATTTCACGAAAACTTTAAACTTCATACTACCATTAAATATAGTTTGTTATTATTAAATCATTTCTTCATTAATTCTTTCATAGCCTTATGAAACAGTTCAACTGATACATTCCACACAACCTGAATACAAAAAAAATTTCATGACAGATGACGTTCAAGTCAAATTTCATGCTAAAAGAAAAACAAGTTTGCAATAAGAAATAATTTCTATCTGGTAATCACTGCAACCATGTTTGCACAAAAAATACATGCTCAAAACAAAGAGTTTTACTCAACATAACACTATTAGAAATGCATCCAATGTTAAGGCAATATAAACTTCCTTTATCAAAATACCATGAGTTATGTACATTTCCAGAGACTAAAGTCTCCCCAATCGATGGCCTATTCTAATTCATTCTAATTACTTAATGCTACCTCTGCTATTCATTGCAAAATTAATTTATTAAAACGACTGTTACCTCCTCAGCTAACAGTTTCAACCAATTTTGTTCTTATGCTGATCAACCAATTTTGTTCTTTGAGCATCATCTAATGCCACTGGGTTCAGTGGGTTGTTTTTCATGTCATTAGCTTTCTGTACGTATTTATTTTGCTCGGATTCTCCTAAACCAATCCATTTGACAGAAGCCAATTTATTTTTTTCACTCAGGTGAGACAACCCCTTTACTTCATCTGCAATAATGGATAAATTTGTCAAGGCTTTCATCATAGTGAATTCTTGATGGGTAACATTCCTTAAACCCTAATTGATTATACTAAAGTGATTTAATATTTCATTCACCTGATTTAAAAAATTCGGAGCAAAATAGATTATATCCGCTTGACCTCCGTAATCTGGGTGGTGGTTTGGGGACTTTTGGTGGATTGCATGAGGGTAGGGGTGACTGTGAATTATTAGATTGACATTTTCTTTTGACAGAAGCAACTTTGTTACCAATCCACTTCTGAAAAAAGCATAATGTCAGTTGTGAAGAAGCTTTTAAATATTTTCAAAACATGCAGTATCAGACATATTTTGTGAAAATTTTACTGACACTATAACATCAAGTGTTACAATAAAGCTGCACCAGTTACTGTGTTTCACAGCCTATAACTCTGTACATAAAGGATGTCTATTGTATATCACAACACATTATAAGAATGTGCTTTTTGAAAAAAAGGAAAGTTTGAAGTAGAACTTAATACTGTGGAGTAGAAATACAAATTTAGGGATGTGATTGAGATACGTATGGCTTTGACTTGATAGCGTTGGTTTCGTTGTCGTTTTCTGGCATACAGAAAAATTTTTAAAAGACGGCGGACAACTGAAGAAGAGGTTTTCTCACCTTGACCTTGTCCACAGACAACGACGTTTCTTCGGTGGCTGTTTTTATCAGCTCAAAACACAGAGTAGATTTCATGCCATTCTCAAAATAGTAATTAAGAGCATCAATTTGCTCTTGAAAGTTTGTTATATTTTTCAGGTCTGTTGTTCATTGTATTTAAATAATTCCTTGCTATAGATTATTAGTGTATGTTTGAAAACAAAAATGGCGTCGATCTCAGATATTATTATCCTTATGTGTAGAATAGTGTACAACAGCATCATACCGCATCCATTATTCGATAGCACAGAAAGCAATCTAATTTGGCTATCTTCCGCATTCTGAAGTTTAGAACTCTGAGTAATACCCATTTAGAATGAGCGAAACGGGTGCAAGACCAGACTTTTAAGCTGCGCGCTATACCGGATTCACTCTTCATTTGCTGTAAAGGCTTCATTTGTTTTTTTAATTGCCTTTGTTCAGTCTCTTCAGATAATTAATGTTTATTAAATTCAGATCTTAATGTAATTTAATTGTGCTTCTGGCATTAACCATTATCACTGCCTTTTAATACTTTAATAAACGGGACTTGGGAATATTGTAACTCCAGAAATACCATTTACTATCGTATAAGAGTTTTATTATGTATTTTATAAAGTTGACTTTAAATGTCATTCGTCTTCAACAAAAACAATTGAGAATAAAATTTAAATAATCAGATATTATATCACTCAATAATGTAAGCTAGATGCAGAAATGTGATTATGCATCATCCAAATACGTCGTGAAAAGTGTTTTGCTACTTTACATCTATAACATAAAACCTTTAACTACCGTTCGTTGATGTTATTTGTTTTCCTGTCAGTAAACTTTTCATTGTGGTTCGCTTTCATTAAAAACTGAAACAGTTCTTAAGTTCTGGGTTGTTTTTCAATTCGTCATTACACCAGACAGCCGCACGTACCCGAACTGGGATTTCAAAAAGAACTCCTTAGGATCATCGACTTTATAAAATGGATGGTTTTAGTGCTGGTCGCAATCGATCGATCTGTCAATGAAATCCAACTATCAAAATAATCATATACGTAAAAAATTTATTTGTCTTTTCCAATCTGAGTAAATTCTATTTGACACGGTATCTTTCCTGTTCACTTGCCTTTTCACAAACCGTTTTTACTGTTTAAAAACTGTTTATTTTTGATGTGGTTTCTTCTCACTGAACTTGAAAAATTTCTTGAGATCTGGATTGTTTTTCAATTCTTCTTCATTGGACCTCACAATAGCATGCACTCGAACAGGGAGATTAGGGAACTTTTTGAGAATATACGCCTTGTAATTGCCAATCTTATAAAATGGTTCTGGTTGTGGTCTTGGCCGTGGTCGATCGTTCCAATGTTGGTTAATATTTCGAATAAGTCTTAAACATTCTGTCCATGAAGAGTCATATGTAAAAATCTTTCCAGTCAACACGTCTGTTCTAAAATAATCATAAATATCTCTGTCTATTTTACTTTTCCAATCTGAAGATTCACTATTCAATTGTTGAACGACAATTGACTTGGAATCATTTGTCTTAATCTGTTGAAGATTTCCAACTATACATAATAAGTCAAATTTTTTGTCATCCGACATAAGAAATGGATGTGTTAACGCCTCGTTGGCTGATGGCCTGTCTTCGGGTTCTCGGTTTAACATCCACAACAAAAGGTCTTTCAGCGCTTCATCCTTGATTTCGTCCAAGCCAACAGGGTGTCCATTTAACATTTTGTCCAATCTATGCCGTTTAGTTCCAAACGGGTGTTTTCCTTTTGTTGCAATATAATATGTTACCATTCCTGCATTCTAAAATGATTAACAATGTAATGTTACAAATTGACTTTATACATGCATGTCGTGCAAATGGTCAAATTCCTACACTTACATATACGTCAGACTCTTTCTTGTACCGTCCTTTTTCAGAATCTTCATCTTCTATATATGATTCAGGAGCAATCCAGTACTCCGTCCCTTTGTTAGGGCTGCTTTCATGTGTCGTAGAATCGTTATCCAATATTCGACTAATGCCAAAGTCAGCTATCAGAAAGCTGCCTTGTGTGTCTCGTAGAACATTGGTAGGCTTTAAGTCCCGATGAAGAATAGGATTTGGGCCGCTATGAAGATCAGCTAATCCTTGCAAAATTTGTCTGAGAATTTTGGGAAGAACTTTTTGAAGATCATATAAAGTAGAAGATTTCACATAACTCTCCAACGACTCCTCACATAAGTCTAATATTAAATAGACATACTCCGTTCCAGTATCTTCTTCTAAGAAGGAATAATTCACAACATATTTTGATCTCTTTGCGTTGAATTGATTTAAAATTTCCTTTTCCTTCAGCGCAAGCTGGATGTAGCTATCTCGATATATTCGTTTCACTGCTTTATCATAACCATCCTTACCCAGTCCAAGAAAAACACGGGTTGCACCACTTCCTTTGCCAATGCAAAACTCTTCTGAAAAAATTACTCGTACATTGCCAACCACTTTAACCTCAACACTGGAATTGCGTCCATATTCAATCAATTTTAGAAACAATTCTCTATGTTTCGTTGATTTATCAATGTATTTCCACTCTTGCAACACCAATTCTAAAAAATCAGATAAAATATTACATTCAAGGGTGAAAGAAACGAAATTAATACGTCAAAATAGCTTAAACGTTCCCAATCAGGAAAGGATATTATTAGCTACCGCACATTTTTGAAAAAAAAATTAACAACACACATTAGCAATTTGATACGAGTTTTATTTGAATTTTCTTGTTAGCATGTTGTAAGGTTTTATATTTTTAAGATATTACGTACGTTATACGGAAATTAAACTTTAGTTCGTGTCATTGGAAAGGCTGTTTTATGATTTCACAAATAATGCATCATTAATTGTATGTTGTATGAAAGTCAGATAAACGTTGTATTCACGTCGGATAACCGTTGTATGAACGTCAGATAAACGTTGTATGAACGTCAGATAAACGTTTTATGAACGTCAGATAAACGTTGTATGAACGTCAGATAAACGTTGTATGAACGTCGGATAACCGTTGTATGAACGTCGGATAACCGTTGTATGAACGTCGGTGGTTAAAATTTCACCTGTATGGTCACATCACTCTCAATGGGGAAGACCTGCGTACAATAATAAATAAAAAATTAACTTACTATACTTCTTGTTAAAGAGCATTCTTACATCTTCAAGAGTCCATTTCCGTTTTTCTCTTGGTCTACATCTCCTAAATATAGCATACAAAATTTTTTTTAGCTATACAAAATACAATTTTATCCCAAAAAGCTTGCTTCATGATTTTTCACTCTTTTCAGATAATTTAATGAAGAATGAGAAATCACGAAGCAGGCTTGTCAATAAAAAATTATAGTTTGTGAAATTTGTTATAAAAGAGTGCTCAATATCTTTATAGAATGAGCAAAATATAAATTTATAAAAGTAAAATAAATACTATCATGAAAGCATCAACTAAACTGTCATTCACCTGATAATTGTCAAAAGGGAGAAACACAGTGTAGCAAATAGTTTCATGATATTGTATACGTATACCACTTTATAAGATACCAAAAAATACCTTAATATTTACCGTTAGAAATATGCTATTTTGAGATGGGATGAACATTTTGCAACAATACGTAACACAACATTATAGTAAAGCTCTGAAACTTAGTCATATGTATCTACTTGACTACCATCCAGTAACTGGTATCCATGAAACTGGTGCTGACATATCAATAGAAGTTAAACTTTATGCCTATTATGTATTTGTGATTTTTTCAAATTTTTTACTCTTTACCAAACACTGCTTGAAACTTGCACAAAACTGCTGGTTCATTGTAAACAAATCTTTTTCCAGATGAACCAAGGACATAAAGTTCTTTTTTCCATTCACCAGTAAGCAGCTGGCCTGGCAACCAAGATACTCCAGGTAACTGAGCCAAAAGAAAAGTAAAATAATTGATAATGGTCACATTAGGCATAAGTACTGTAAAAAGCTATGTATAGTTTGCAACAATATGGACTTTAACAAATGGCATGAGATGTCATTTGTTTTTATTATTATTGCTATTATTTTTTATTTAATATACATAGTTTCTGCTGTTGTTGGTATTGCTATGATATTTATTATTTCTACAAATGTAATGCTATACCATCAATGCTATTGTAATGATCATCATTACTGATGTAGAATTAAATAGAATCTTTTGTTGTCCAAACACTATTATACATATCCAAAATCATATGACATTTATGTCAGCATTACATCTGTGATTAAGGCAGTGAATTATAAAATATCAACAACAACAGCAACAACAATCATCTCTTCAGTGATTAATCTACTTGGAACATAAGAATTTTACAATCACTTTTCACAGCATTTAGAAACTGTATAAACTTTCAATTTCACAAAAACTTTAAACTTCATACTACCATTAAATATAGTTTATTATTATTAAATCATTTCTTTATTAATTCTTTCATAGCCTTATGAAACAGTTCAACTGATACATTCCACACAACCAGAATACAAAAAAATTTTCATGCCAGATGACGTTCAAGTCAAATTTCATGCCAAAAGAAAAACAAGTTTGCAATAAGAAATAACTTTCTAGCTGGTAATCACTGTAACCATGTTTGCACAAAAAATACATGCTCAAAACAAAGAGTTTTACTCAACATAACACTATTAGAAATGCATCCAATGTTAAGGCAATATAAACTTCCTTTATCAAAATACCATGAGTTATGTACATTTCCAGAGACTAAAGTCTCCCCAATCGATGGCCTATTCTAATTCATTCTAATTACAGAAAAAAGCATAATGTCAGTTGTGAAGAAGCTTTTGAATAATTTCAAAACATGCAGTATCAAACAAATTTTGTGAAATTTGTACTGACATTATAACATCAAGTGTTACAATAAAGCTGCACCAGTTACTGTGGTTCACAGCCTATTACTATGTACATAAAGGTTATCTATTGTATATCACAACACATTATAAGAATGTGCTTTTTGAAAAAAAGGAAAGTTTAAAGCAGAACTTCATACTGTGGAGTAGAAATACAAATTTAGGATGTGATTGAGATACGTATGGCTTTGATTTGATAGCGTTACTTTCGTTGTTGGTTTATTGCATACAGAAAAATTTTTCAAAGACGGCAGACAACTAAAGAAGAGGTTTTCTCACCTTGACCTTGTCCACAGACAACGACGTTTCTTCGGCGGCTGTTTTTATCAGCTCAAAGCACAGAGTAGATTTCATGCCATTCTCAAAATAGTAATTAAGAGCATCAATTTGCTTTCTTGAAAGTTTGTTGCATTTTTCAGGTCTGTTGTTCATTGTATTTAAATAACTCCTTGGAATAGATTATTAGTGTATGTTTGGAAACAAAAATGGCGACGATCTCAGATATTATCCCTATGTGTAGAATAGTGAGAACATCATACCGCATCCATTATTAGATAGCACAGAAAGCAATCTAATTTGGCTATCTTCCGCACTCTAAAGTTTAGAACTCTGAGTTATACCCATTTAGAATGAGCGAAACGGGTGCAAGACCAGACTTTTAAGCTGCGTGTTATACCGGATTCACTCTTCGTTTGCTGTAAAGGCTTCATTTGTTTTTTTAATTGCCTTTGTTTAGTCTCTTCAGATAATTAATGTTTTCTAAATTCAGAGCTTAAGTCCATTTAATTGTGCTGTTGGCATTAACCATTATCACTGCCTTTTAATACTTTAATAAACGGGATCTTGGTAATATTAAAACTCCAGAAATACCATTTACTATCGTATAAGAGTTTTATTATGTATTTTATAAAGTTGACTTTAAATGTCATGCGTCTTCAACAAAAGCAATTGAGAATAAAATTTAAATAATCAGATATTATATTATTCAATAATGTAAGCTACATTCAGAAATGTGATTATGCATCATACAAATACGTCGTTAAAAGTGTTTTGCTACTTTACATCTATAAGATAAATCCTTTAACTACCGTGTCGTTGATTTGTTACTTGTTTTCCTGTCAGTAAACTTTTCATTGTGGTTCGCTTTCATTAAAAACTGAAAAAGTTCTTAAGTTCTGGGTTATTTTTCAATTCGTCATTACATCAGACAGCCGCACGCACCCAAACTGGGATTTCAAAAAGAACTCCTTAGGATCATCGACTTTATAAAATGGATGGTTTTAGTGCCGGTCGCAATCAATCGATCTGTCAATAAAAGCCAACAATCAAAATAATCATATACGTAAAAAATTTATTTGTCTTTTCCAATCTGAGTAAATTTCATTTTACACGGTATCTTTCCTGTTCACTTTCACAAACTGTTTTTACTGTTTAAAAACTGTTTATTTTTGATGTGGTTTCTTTTCACTGAAATTGAAAAAGTTCTTGAGATCTGGATTGTTTTTCACTTCTACATTGCACCTCACAGAAGCATGCACTCGAATAGGGAGATTAGGGAATTTTTTGAGAATATACGCCTTGTGATCGCCAATCTTATAAAATGGTTCTGGTTGAGGCTTTGGCCGTGGTCGATCGTTCCAATGTTGGTTAATATTTCGAATAAGTCTTAAACATTCTGTCCATGAAGAGTCATATGTAAAAATCTTTCCAGTCACCACGTCTGTTCTAAAATAATCATAAACATCACTGTCTATTTTACTTTTCCAATCTGAGGATTCACTATTCAATTGTTGAACGACACTACACAGGGGATCATTTGTCTTAATCTGCTGAAGATTTCCAACTTTACATAATAAGTCAAATTTCTCGTCATCCGACATAAGAAATGGGTGTTTTAACGCCACGGTAGCCGATGGTCTGTTTTCAGGTTTTAGATTTAACATCCACGACAGAAGGTCCTTTAGTGTTTCATCCTCGATTTCCTCCAAACCAACAGGGTTTCCTTTTAACATATTGTCCAATCTAAGCCGTTTCGTTCCAAAAGGGTGTTTTCCTTTTGTTGCAATATAATAAGTTACCATTCCTGCATTCTAAAAAGATTAAAAATGTAATGTCACAACTTGAATGTATATATGCATAAACTTAAAATGGTTATAATCTTATACTGTTATAATAATGTAGTAGATTGTAAAACCCTCTCCCCCTCAGGGACCTTAGGTTTCTAGAACACCGCAGACAGCGGGCTCAAAAAGAGAAAAACACGTGTACTTTTTATATTTTAAGGGTTAAACAGACCACTCTTAAATAGTTCACAAATGAAGAACCGTATTGCAACATACACTTACATATATATCAGACTCTTTCTTGTACCGTCCTTTATCAACAAAATCTTCCTTTTCACAATATGATTCAGGAGCAATCCAATACTCCGTTCCTGTGTTAGGACTGCTTTCATATGTCGTACAATCATTATTCAATATTTGACTAATGCCAAAGTCAGCTATCAGAAAGTTGTCTTGTGAGTCTCGGAGAACATTGGTAGGCTTTAAGTCCCGATGAATAATAGGATTTTCGCCACTATGAAGATCAGCTAATCCTTGCAAAATTTGTCTGAGAATTTCGGGAAGAGCGTTTTGAAGTTCTACCAAAGTAGAAGATTTCACATAACTCTCCAACGATTCTTCACATAAGTCTAATATTAAATAGACATACTCCGTTCCAGTATCTTCTTCTAAGAAGGAATAATTCACAACATATTTTGATCTCTTTGCGTTGAATTGATTTAAAATTTCTTTTTCTTTCTGTGCAAGCTTCATGCAGTTGTCTCGACGTATTCGTTTCACTGCTTTGCCGTAACCATCTTTTCTCAGTCCAAGAAAAACACGGGTCTCGTTACTTCCTTTACCGATGCAAAAATCGTCCGAAAAAATTACACGTACATCGCTCACTTGTTTAACCTCGACACTGTCATCGCGTGAACGTTTAAGCAGATTTGAAAACATTTTTTTATGCTTCTTTGATTCATCATTGTATTTCCACTCTTGCAACTTTGATTCTTAAATAATTCGAAAAAAGAATTAAATTCATGCATGGGTAAAAGAAACGCATATTAATACCGCATTTTTTAAAATCGCTATCAGTAACTACTTATGATAGTCGTAGCATAAATTTCTTAATTGTGCAATCAAATCTGGTAACATTGAGGTTAGCTTATACCAAAAAATTAATTACAAAAAGTTCTATATTTTATTGATTTTCGTCGAAGAATAGCCTTATATTTTTCGAACATATTAAGTTAAAATTTTGATAGCATGTTTTTTACCCTCGTCGTTTAGAGGCTGAATGCATGATACGGTAGCCGAGATTGAGCAAAGCTTTAAATGACTTTGTCAAATGGAAATGATTCAATACTCATCAACAGATAAATCTTCTCCAGCATTTTCATAACATTCTCATTTAACTAATTTAATAATCGCGCAAAAATTTAAAAATGAAAGAAAACAATTTGGCCTAATTGGAAAATGTTAACGAGAACGACTTGTGGCGCTTAACAAACGTAAAATGATTTCGAGGCATTGAAAGGGGGAAAAACTTCAAGCTTCAAAATTACAACTGTTTGTGAAAGGCCACAAGTCATTCCTGTTGAAATTCTAAAATTAGGCCAAGCTGGTTGTTTCAATTTTAAATTTTTTGCTCTGTTATTAAATCAAAATGTTGTGAAATTCCTCGAGAAGACTTATCTGATGGTAAGTACAGACTTGTTTCCATTTGCCAAAATCATTTAACGCCTCACTGAATTCTAGTTAGTGAAGTCAGGATCATTTAAACACTCTCATACCGGATGAACTTTCTTATGTTTTCTGCTAAACTTTTAGTGTTGAAATGCAATCGAATCCCTAAATATTATTCTCTCAAACTTTGTTTTGATATCTAATACGTACTGTTCCTCTTATACACCTTTGTAAAATGACGCTTGTTATCTTTATCCCTGTAAACTAAAGCTCTACCTCGTGTTTTTTCTCATTCTTATGCAGCATTGCCGGTATCATTTCCCCCTTGCTAAAATGAATATGGTTATTTGCAGTATTTAAATATTTTATCCCACATATGGTGATTTATTTGTAAGTAACAATTTGTCTGTCATGTGTCAGAGTGGGGACAAGTAGCAAGGCTTCACGTGCCGTCCCTGATTTCGACGGATTGCTACAACACGCGCAACACTTCCAAACTTCCAGCCCGAGTTTGGATCGCCCCTTGGCGCGAAAAGATATGATGATGACGATGATGATGTGTCAGAGTTATCAAGGAAAATTGCGTTTTAGTGAAATTTTTACCCAAGGAGAAAAGGAATCATGCCATTTCAATAACTTTTTAACACCACGATAAAAGTAAGCCATTCAAATTCTTGCCATATTTTTTAGTTCATTTGACTTTCACAAGAATTTGGCTTTCACAATATATTATTCGACCACAACTGAAGGTATGAATAGCTCCCTCCCCATTAAATGTTATAGTTTCGGCCCTCTATACAGTGGTCAGTGTTACAATATCTGAGAAAACATGATACAGCCATTGAGTTCTGTAAGCGATATTTCATCAGCAGCATTATTCTTGCTCAATCGGGTGGCTTATGTCGTACATGTCCTGGTCTGATCCATGCGCAGTTTTTAATGAAGGTTATTAAACCAGTTAACAATCATCAATTAAGACACAGTTTGAATCATAATTGAGATTTTTGAATGAACTTGCTATTCTAATATAGTCCAAATAATCATATTTATTTATTTTAAAATCAATGAATGAACTCGTTGTTTTTATATTTTGCGATTAGTAACGTTATTTGCTTATCTATTTTGGGAAACTTTATAATAGAAAAAACTGATACAGCAACTTTTATGCTCTATGCAATTTTCAAGATACAATTTTTAATAAAAAGTATTAAAAATTTAATTTTCAGCTAGAAAATGATCTTTGTGGACTTTTGAATGATGTTCACACTGAAGAGGTAATCTCCAGTATACTTATCAAGGAGAGAGCTCAAAAAAAACTTGTAATTTTCTGTAAATTTAGAATTTAGAAGATCATTTAGCAAATGAGCAATTTAATGCTACATTTATCATAATGAAAATTATAAATTACCTTCTTTTTATTGTGGAACTTTGTGTATTCACATCGTCAAATTGGCTCATTTTCCATATGATTTTGAGGTAATTTTCTTACAATGAACAGGAATTCTTATTCATTGAAGTTTATTGAGCAAGTCGTTTTGATGGTGGCCGTTCTTTGCATAATTTTCAATGTCATTATTTAGGTAGTGTATGCATGGTGGTGCAAACGTGAAGTATGACAGTATAACCAAAAAGATAGTTCGTTGAGAAGTTTTTATGATTAAACAAGCAGAATACAAATAAACGTTACTTTGAAAAATAGATTGCAAGATGTCATTATCACCTCATGTCTCATCTTAATTTCAACTGACTGATAACGTGCTTCGTATAAAATTTTTAAGGTGACAAAATGGTTAAAACAGATTAAACCAGTTGCAAATGTTACCATTCAGTGTTACTTAGGCATGTGATGAAAAAAACTCATATATCTCAAAACATTTGTTAATGTAAAGGTTGATTGAAGCCTTTATTTGAAGTAAATTTTTATTAGAACTTGAATATGGTGATGTTTTTTTAATTGTTTCAATACTTTTGATGCTGTAAGCCAGAAGCAAAAAAAATTAATTTTTATCTGGAAAAAAGTTATACTCCGACTAATCTCCTGTCATCTAACAAAGAAAATAGTAATTAACGTAATCAAACACAAGCACTTTTAAAACAGATGGTCTAACCTGAACACTTCTAAAATGCAGGGTCTGATCTGCATGGTGTACATTATGTCGAGATTTGTTTTAAAAGGTTTTAGTCAATTTATTATAATCCTTTTTCTTCAATGCAACTTATGAAGTGTAGTCAATTTGAGCACTTTATAAAAAGATTTACGTCACTTTGCTGCTATGCAATATTTATTGAGATAAATAAAGACTTGTCAAGTTGTGCTGAGCACTGCCGTTTGGTACAAAGTACATTTAAATTATTAGTCGTTCGCAAAAGGAAAATTTAAGTCTTTGATACAGTATTGAACATACGTAATAAACGAACGTTTGGAGTCCGAAAGTGCAACACTGTATACGTACATCATGCATATTATTAAATAATGTAAATCTTCATAAAAACACATAAATGCCAATCGAATGGCTTGAATTGTGATACAATACAAAACAAATATGCTTAAAAAACGACGATTTTTTTGAAAGCAAACATGTTTCGACATTATCAGAATGCCATCTTCATTGCAGAATGTTTAGTGTTAAGTAATATGATACGTAATATGATATGAATAAATTAATTTCAATGAATAGGATTATGATTTAGTTACAAAATTATAAAATATTTACAAAAAAGGAAAAGAAAAATAAGTATTAAGAACTTATAACAAAAAATGTTATTATAAAGTAAATATAGTGTTGTAGTGGTGAACTTGGATATTTAAATCGGGATTAGTTTTATTAATGTGTAGAGCTTCCTTGATTTTGAGTGAGAAAGTGGATTGATCAGTGTCGATGATTTTAAAACAGGAAGGTGAGAATTTGTTTTTACATGAAGGAGAGGCTTGAAGATGTTTGTAGATAGTGGAGTTTTTGTCTGTGTGAGTATCCTGGTAGATAATTGGCGAGAAGTTTCACCAATATAGCGGGAATTACATCTTCTTTTCCTTTTTTGTAAATATTTTATAATTTTGTAACTAAATCATAATCCTATTCATTGTAATTAATTTATTCATATCATATTACGTATCATATTACTTAACACTAAACATTCTGCACTGAAGATGGCATTCTGATAATGTCGAAACATGTTTGCTTTCAAAAAAATCGTCGTTTTTCTCAAGTGTTTTTTAAAATTGCTGCTAATTAGAAATTATGGAAATATGCTTAGGTTTTGCAATATATATAAAATAAAATAGAATTGAAGGGTATACCTTGTTTTGTAATTTCAACAACAGGAGAATTTCCGACATCTTTAGCATTACCATCGTCACCACTTGTGAGTCCTTTGAACAATATTTTAAAAAGCGTTATCCACACAAGATGTGCATTTCGATTTTGACAACAAGTAAAAAATTGAATTAACAGCTAGCGCTCGAAAAGAAATAACACAAATAAATTAGAAAGTTTTGGATAGTAGCTTTTAAAACTATATATTTCATTTCGTTTTGCCCATTAGCTCCAAAATGTCAAATACATATAGGTAAATAAACAAACTTCATGAATTACGACTGCCAAAGAGTATTTTGGTAAAATACAAGACAATGGACACTCTGTATATAGTAAACATTATTTATCGAGATTACATAATGTTTACTAAATACGAAATGTCTATTGTCTTGTGTTTTACTAAAACTTCATGAAGCAAACAGCAAATGTTTTGTAAAACGAAAATTAAACAAAACAAAAAACCATGGTATGAATATAAGTCAAAAAAGAACACTCGAAAAGTGGGTTTTATTATCTAGGCGACACAATTTCAAACTATATATTTTCTGCTGGCAAAAACTAGAGGAGTGACAGTCAGTCCTTGCAAAACAGCAAGAATAGAAAGTGGTGAACTTGGATATTTAAATCGGGATTAGTTTTATTAATGTGTAGAGCTTCCTTGATTTTGAGTGAGAAAGTGGATTGATCAGTGTCGATGATTTTAAAACAGGAAGGTGAGAATTTGTTTTTACATGAAGGAGAGGCTTGAAGATGTTTGTAGATAGTGGAGTTTTTGTCTGTGTGAGTATGTTCCTTTATCCTGGTAGATAATTGGCGAGTAGTTTCACCAATATAGCGGGAATTACATCTTCTTTTCCTTTTTTGTAAATATTTTATAATTTTGTAACTAAATCATAATCCTATTCATTGTAATTAATTTATTCATATCATATTACGTATCATATTACTTAACACTAAACATTCTGCACTGAAGATGGCATTCTGATAATGTCGAAACATGTTTGCTTTCAAAAAAATCGTCGTTTTTCTCAAGTGTTTTTTAAAATTGCTGCTAATTAGAAATTATGGAAATATGCTTAGGTTTTGCAATATATATAAAATAAAATAGAATTGAAGGGTATACCTTGTTTTGTAATTTCAACAACAGGAGAATTTCCGACATCTTTAGCATTACCATCGTCACCACTTGTGAGTCCTTTGAACAATATTTTAAAAAGCGTTATCCACACAAGATGTGCATTTCGATTTTGACAACAAGTAAAAAAATTGAATTAACAGCTAGCGCTCGAAAAGAAATAACACAAATAAATTGGAAAGTTTTGGATAGTAGCTTTTAAAACTATATATTTCATTTCGTTTTGCCCATTAGCTCCAAAATGTCAAATACATATAGGTAGATAAATAAACTTCATGAATTACGACTGCCAAAGAGTATTTTGGTAAAATACAAAACAATGGACACTCTGTATATAGTAAACATTATTTATCGAGATTACATAATGTTTACTAAATACGAAATGTCTATTGTCTTGTGTTTTACTAAAACTTCATGAAGCAAACAGCAAATGTTTTGTAAAACGAAAATTAAACAAAACAAAAAACCATGGTATGAATGTAAGTCAAAAAAGAACACTCGAAAAGTGGGTTTTATTATCTAGGCGACACAATTTCAAACTATATATTTTCTGCTGGCAAAAACTATAGGAGTGACAGTCAGTCCTTACAAAACAGCAAGAAAAGAAAGTGGTGAACTTGGATATTTAAATCGGGATTAGTTTTATTAATGTGTAGAGCTTCCTTGATTTTGAGTGAGAAAGTGGATTGATCAGTGTCGATGATTTTAAAACAGGAAGGTGAGAATTTGTTTTTACATGAAGGAGAGGCTTGAAGATGTTTGTAGATAGTGGAGTTTTTGTCTGTGTGAGTATGTTCCTTTATCCTGGTAGATAATTGGCGAGAAGTTTCACCAATATAGCGGGAATTACATCTTCTTTTCCTTTTTTGTAAATATTTTATAATTTTGTAACTAAATCATAATCCTATTCATTGTAATTAATTTATTCATATCATATTACGTACACTGTAAATTTTAAGGTGTTAATTTAACACTAAAAAGTGGTGTTAAATTAAAAGGTACAGAATAACACCATTTCGGGTGTTATTTTCTTACTGGTGTTAAATTAACACCGAGTTTGGTGCTAAAATAGCGCCTATTCTTGGTGTTATTATAGCACTTGTTAAAGTGCTAATTTAGCCCTCAACGTCCGGTGTCAAAATGACACTTAAATTCGGTGTTAATTTGTAACCCCTTTTCTTATTGTTTTATGTAAGGCCAGTTAAACACGCGACACAAAAATGCTGAGCAATAAATATATTTAAAAAAATGAAATGATTTATATGCATGTATTCACACATATAAATATATACAAAACATAAAACATACTATAAACAAGTCAATATATGAAACAAGTAAAGTTAAATGTATATATATAATTAAATATATAAAACATCTTAGAAATACTACTATATTATAATCTCTAAAGCGCCAAACTTTTCACAAATTTCTGAACTGAAACCCTTTTCTTTGCATTTGCGGGCTTGCCCATCAAAACTGCTTCCAAAAGGGCATAAATGTTACCGGCCTTTGGTGTATATTCCATATTCAGTACATAAAATGTACCTAGAAGTAGTACTACAGACAATGAAATTTCTATATTTTTTTTGACAGATTTAAAAAAATTTGCCCTTCGGTAGCAATTACAAGGGGGTCCAGACTCCTAATTTTCCCGTTCCAATTAGTCGTGGGTAGGTGGTGTTTGCTATTTCATCATCAAAAGAGTGATCTTCCTAAACAACAGCATAAACATAAACACAATTAGAATTATTAGGTCATTGAAAGTGAGACACAATATTGTCATGTCATGGCAGTAATCTAATTATATTTTATATTAAAGCATACATAAAATTTTATCCATGCAGTTTCTATATAGTTTCGGTATCTATTACTTACGCAGCAGATCTTGAAAACTAAGCAATTGGCCGTGGATTTTTCATTCAACACAACCTGAATATCAATGCTGTAACTGCACTCCTTATATCTGCAAAATATACAACCAACTGATTAATATTTACAATATACGCATTTTGCTATTGTAGATTTAAGTGGAACTATTTTTCTATTCGGACCGAAATATAAACGGTAAATAACGTATTTATTTTTTGTCAAGCGGTTATGGCCGTTGTGCCATAATGTAATCTTGAATTTCATGCGTAACACTTTCGTCCCTTTCATCCATGTTTACGTTTTCTGCTATATTTTTGGCTTTAACATTTGCCAGGATTCCGCGGACCGGAGTAAAAAAAATGAAGTAATTTATTCGAACATCAACTTAGCATGCTGCAATAATAATGATTTGGTATTTTTACTTCATAGTCTATTGTAGTTTGGAGCCACGGCAGTTGAATTTTCACCCATAATGCTTGACGTCTTAGATTACCCAGTCATTTTTTATCTTTACACTTTATTTCCCTCAATAATTTTCCCCACTAAATTCAAGTATTGTTTTTCGGTATGGAATCCATATTTACCAAGCAGTGTTAACAAAGCAACAAAAGTCGTCTAGTCACAACGTCGACACGCAAAAATTCACGCACTCATAACAAAATTAATTTTATACACATACCTCTTCATCTTCAAGAATAGAAATTACACTGTCCTTTACCCCTGCCTTCTTAAGATTATCAAGCAACGTGGAATCCATCCGACCTTAAACGCATAAAAATTTGTAAAACACAAATACAAAAATTTCTACATGAAATATAAGCACGAGGAGAAGTATGTGTCACAAGAAATTTCATAAGAAAATACATTCAAAAAAGCTTTGTATTTACCTTTTTAAAAGGGAGATAGTCGAAACCAAATAACTTAAATCCAATGGCTCTTTAAGCCTGGTAATATTGACTTTTACGTTTAGTTGACAACGCTGCACAAACAGATGAAATCACAATGCAAATCATGAAATGAAATATGAGACAGTGTGACAGTGACAGTAGACTATGAGCATCTTACCTCGTTTTGCATATAGTCGCTAATATCACATTTCACACCATATATGGTAACAGAGTTGAGCCGGCACTCTCTTCAGAAGTGAATTGTATTCTTGAAGTGAATAATGTCATTGAGCGTCTATATCGATGTAATATTTGCCTAGAATTCGTTTCAGATTCTCTTCAATTACTAATAACACATATTGGCCGTGTTCATCGTGATGAACCAAATTTTCATGTTGTTTGTGGCATCGATGGTTGTGCCAGGACGTTTAAGAAATTTTTCTCATTGAGAAATTACCTTATTCGAAAACATAACATCTTGCGCAATACGAAGAGCAGCGCAGAGTTGAATACTGATAGGGGAAACGACGATGCTAATCAAAATCATGAGATTGATAATACAGACCCTGAACAGGAAAAAGAGTTTTACATTATGGCTGACCAGGACAATTTATCTAGAGGACTAGAGCGAATACTTTATGTTTGTTAAATTTCAAAGAAAGAGGACGTGTACCTCAAACTGTTGTTGATTCCTTCGTTGATAATGCTACGAAGGTTACTCAAACAAGCATTAACCTTTTAAATTCTGGTATAACTAGCTGCCTTAAAAACGCAGCCATGTTTAAAATTGAAAATCCATGCTTAATCCAGCTCCGGTTAATATAACATATGTATTGCCGCTATTTTTTACGAAGTTTTTAAGCTGTTTAATGAACGCATAAGTCAACTGTTCTGTTATCCATGTCAGAACGAAAACAGCTGCAGTTTGATATAAGTATAAGAATAAGTTAAAAAAACCGTTAAAATAAGTGTTATTTTGACACCCATGATTTTACAAGGAGAGTGGTGCAGAAATAACGCCCTTTATAAATTATTGTAACTCTTGCTCATGGTGTTAATTTAACACCAACCACTTAACACCAAAAAACAGTGTTACTTTAGCACCTTTGTGGCAGAGCAAGGTGCTATTTCAGCACTATTAATTAGGTGTTAAAGTGTTGAGGTGTAAATTTAACACGCTACAATATGTTTAAGGTCATATGTTGTTAAATCAACACCAATATTGGTGTTATAATAACACCTTTTATTTAACACCACCGGTGGGTGTCAGTTTAGCACTAGAGAAAGTGCTAGTTCAACACCTCAAAAATAACAGTGTATCATATTACTTAACACTAAACATTCTGCACTGAAGATGGCATTCTGATAATGTCGAAACATGTTTGCTTTCAAAAAAATCGTCGTTTTTCTCAAGTGTTTTTTAAAATTGCTGCTAATTAGAAATTATGGAAATATGCTTAGGTTTTGCAATATATATAAAATAAAATAGAATTGAAGGGTATACCTTGTTTTGTAATTTCAACAACAGGAGAATTTCCGACATCTTTAGCATTACCATCGTCACCACTTGTGAGTCCTTTGAACAATATTTTAAAAAGCGTTATCCACACAAGATGTGCATTTCGATTTTGACAACAAGTAAAAAAATTGAATTAACAGCTAGCGCTCGAAAAGAAATAACACAAATAAATTGGAAAGTTTTGGATAGTAGCTTTTAAACTATATATTTCATTTCGTTTTGCCCATTAGCTCCAAAATGTCAAATACATATAGGTAGATAAACAAACTTCATGAATTACGACTGCCAAAGAGTATTTTAAAATACAAGACAATGGACACTCTGTATATAGTAAACACTATTTATCGAGATTACATAATGTTTACTAAATACGAAATGTCTATTGTCTTGTGTTTTACTAAAACTTCATGAAGCAAACAGCAAATGTTTTGTAAAACGAAAATTAAACAAAACAAAAAACCATGGTATGAATGTAAGTCAAAAAAGAACACTCGAAAAGTGGGTTTTATTATCTAGGCGACACAATTTCAAACTATATATTTTTTGCTGGCAAAAACTATAGGAGTGACAGTCAGTCCTTACAAAACAGCAAGAAAAGAAAGTGGTGAACTTGGATATTTAAATCGGGATTAGTTTTATTAATGTGTAGAGCTTCCTTCATTTTGAGTGAGAAAGTGGATTGATCAGTGTCGATGATTTTAAAACAGGAAGGTGAGAATTTGTTTTTACATGAAGGAGAGGCTTGAAGATGTTTGTAGATAGTGGAGTTTTTGTCTGTGTGAGTATGTTCCTTTATCCTGGTAGATAATTGGCGAGAAGTTTCACCAATATAGCGGGAATTACATCTTCTTTTCCTTTTTTGTAAATATTTTATAATTTTGTAACTAAATCATAATCCTATTCATTGTAATTAATTTATTCATATCATATTACGTATCATATTACTTAACACTAAACATTCTGCACTGAAGATGGCATTCTGATAATGTCGAAACATGTTTGCTTTCAAAAAATCGTCGTTTTCTCAAGTGTTTTTAAAATTGCTACTAATTAGAAATTATGGAAATATGCTTAGGTTTTGCAATATATATAAAATAAAATAGAATTGAAGGGTATACCTTGTTTTGTAATTTCAACAACAGGAGAATTTCCGACATCTTTAGCATTACCATCGTCACCACTTGTGAGTCCTTTGAACAATATTTTAAAAAGCGTTATCCACACAAGATGTGCATTTCGATTTTGACAACAAGTAAAAAAATTGAATTAACAGCTAGCGCTCGAAAAGAAATAACACAAATAAATTGGAAAGTTTTGGATAGTAGCTTTTAAAACTATATATTTCATTTCGTTTTGCCCATTAGCTCCAAAATGTCAAATACATATAGGTAGATAAACAAACTTCATAAATTACGACTGCCAAAGAGTATTTTGGTAAAATACAAGACAATGGACACTCTGTATATAGTAAACATTATTTATCGAGATTACATAATGTTTACTAAATACGAAATGTCTATTGTCTTGTGTTTTACTAAAACTTCATGAAGCAAACAGCAAATGTTTTGTAAAACGAAAATTAAACAAAACAAAAAACCATGGTATGAATGTAAGTCAAAAAAGAACACTCGAAAAGTGGGTTTTATTATCTAGGCGACACAATTTCAAACTATATATTTTTGCTGGCAAAACTATAGGAGTGACAGTCAGTCCTTACAAAACAGCAAGAAAAGAAAGTGATGAACTTGGATATTTAAATCGGGATTAGTTTTATTAATGTGTAGAGCTTCCTTTGATTTTGAGTGAGAAAGTGGATTGATCAGTGTCGATGATTTTAAAACAGGAAGGTGAGAATTTGTTTTTACATGAAGGAGAGGCTTGAAGATGTTTGTAGATAGTGGAGTTTTTGTCTGTGTGAGTATGTTCCTTTATCCTGGTAGATAATTGGCGAGTAGTTTCACCAATATAGCGGGAATTACATCTTCTTTTCCTTTTTTGTAAATATTTTATAATTTTGTAACTAAATCATAATCCTATTCATTGTAATTAATTTATTCATATCATATTACGTATCATATTACTTAACACTAAACATTCTGCACTGAAGATGGCATTCTGATAATGTCGAAACATGTTTGCTTTCAAAAAAATCGTCGTTTTTCTCAAGTGTTTTTTAAAATTGCTGCTAATTAGAAATTATGGAAATATGCTTAGGTTTTGCAATATATATAAAATAAAATAGAATTGAAGGGTATACCTTGTTTTGTAATTTCAACAACAGGAGAATTTCCGACATCTTTAGCATTACCATCGTCACCACTTGTGAGTCCTTTGAACAATATTTTAAAAAGCGTTATCCACACAAGATGTGCATTTCGATTTTGACAACAAGTAAAAAAATTGAATTAACAGCTAGCGCTCGAAAAGAAATAACACAAATAAATTGGAAAGTTTTGGATAGTAGCTTTTAAAACTATATATTTCATTTCGTTTTGCCCATTAGCTCCAAAATGTCAAATACATATAGGTAGATAAACAAACTTCATAAATTACGACTGCCAAAGAGTATTTTGGTAAAATACAAGACAATGGACACTCTGTATATAGTAAACATTATTTATCGAGATTACATAATGTTTACTAAATACGAAATGTCTATTGTCTTGTGTTTTACTAAAACTTCATGAAGCAAACAGCAAATGTTTTGTAAAACGAAAATTAAACAAAACAAAAAACCATGGTATGAATGTAAGTCAAAAAAGAACACTCGAAAAGTGGGTTTTATTATCTAGGCGACACAATTTCAAACTATATATTTTTTGCTGGCAAAAACTATAGGAGTGACAGTCAGTCCTTACAAAACAGCAAGAAAAGAAAGTGATGAACTTGGATATTTAAATCGGGATTAGTTTTATTAATGTGTAGAGCTTCCTTGATTTTGAGTGAGAAAGTGGATTGATCAGTGTCGATGATTTTAAAACAGGAAGGTGAGAATTTGTTTTTACATGAAGGAGAGGCTTGAAGATGTTTGTAGATAGTGGAGTTTTTGTCTGTGTGAGTATGTTCCTTTATCCTGGTAGATAATTGGCGAGAAGTTTCACCAATATAGCGGAATTACATCTTCTTTTCCTTTTGTAAATATTTTATAATTTTGTAACTAAATCATAATCCTATTCATTGTAATTAATTTATTCATATCATATTACGTATCATATTACTTAACACTAAACATTCTGCACTGAAGATGGCATTCTGATAATGTCGAAACATGTTTGCTTTCAAAAAATCGTCGTTTTCTCAAGTGTTTTTAAAATTGCTGCTAATTAGAAATTATGGAAATATGCTTAGGTTTTGCAATATATATAAAATAAAATAGAATTGAAGGGTATACCTTGTTTTGTAATTTCAACAACAGGAGAATTTCCGACATCTTTAGCATTACCATCGTCACCACTTGTGAGTCCTTTGAACAATATTTTAAAAAGCGTTATCCACACAAGATGTGCATTTCGATTTTGACAACAAGTAAAAAAATTGAATTAACAGCTAGCGCTCGAAAAGAAATAACACAAATAAATTGGAAAGTTTTGGATTGTAGCTTTTAAAACTATATATTTCATTTCGTTTTGCCCATTAGCTCCAAAATGTCAAATACATATAGGTAGATAAACAAACTTCATGAATTACGACTGCCAAAGAGTATTTGGTAAAATACAAGACAATGGACACTCTGTATATAGTAAACATTATTTATCGAGATTACATAATGTTTACTAAATACGAAATGTCTATTGTCTTGTGTTTTACTAAAACATGAAACAAACAGCAAATGTTTTGTAAAACGAAAATTAAACAAAACAAAAACCATGGTATGAATGTAAGTCAAAAAAGAACACTCGAAAAGTGGGTTTTATTATCTAGGCGACACAATTTCAAACTATATATTTTCTGCTGGCAAAAACTAGAGGAGTGACAGTCAGTCCTTGCAAAACAGCAAGAATAGAAAAAGCAAAGAAAGCTTCGTTTCAGGTCAAATAATACCATATAGCTAATTGACTTTTTACTAACCTCGCCTGCTCGATCTTTATTGAGAAATCTCGGACCTCTGTTTTTATCACAAACCTCTCCCTAAGGGTATCGGTCAGTACAAATAAATTCAGTCCGATATTTCTCCATAAAGACCTTACACTCGGTTATTAAGGGCGTTGTAATGAGTTCACACATTGATAAGTGTTAACGAACTGTTGTCGCCAATCTCTGTCGAGTATCTTAGTAATTTTAAGAAAAAGTTGCTAAAGTCCGCGTTGCTGTTGACTGTCAGCTTTGAGGACAAGTAAACTATTACAACTTTATGAAAATTTATGCAACCTGTCAAAGAACAAAAATTGTTAGCAGACACAGACATTAACACATTTTTTAGCGTTGTTGTTTAATTACTAATGGATTTAAAAGAAAAGTCTAGAATTATTTTAATCTTAAATTATCGTCATACACAGTATATATTCAAAAGTTTCCTAAAGAATATGCAAGCACCCAAAAGCGTAGAAATTCGACGAATTTTGTTCCTAAACAGAGCAAATGAATGGTTGCTTAATTTGTTGAGAAGGCTACCTTTCCCTACGGAGTCGAGGCAACTAAGAAAGATCCGTCAAACATTGAAATTTTATCGCGATATGTGGCTTGTTTACTCCTACCTCGGCGCTATACTTTCATTAAACAATCAACTCGCCGCCGCAAGTTTTTCTCAGTTATGAAATGAAATTGAACTGTATTCCTGGAAAACTGATGAGCGAGAAGAAGTGATCGCTATAATATTTTTGAATTAGTAAACAAGAGCTGCAAGGGATCTAGAGTTAAAAAAATCATCTGCAACACCTTTATAAAGTTAGGGAAACATCCTGCAGGAAACATAATGACTGGAATTGCTATAATAATGTTTGGTATCTTTGTCAGTCACGCTATGTCAATGTAGTTTCAATAATTTATTAGTAACAAAATAGCAGTTAAACATTTCATACAGACCATGATTTGATAATATGTAGACACATGTTTTGTCAAGCTTTTGCTATCTCCATTGCTCAAATCATTTATTTATGCTTTATATTAAGCAACTTCATAAAACTAGATCTCAGCAAACAAATACATTATAGGTCTAATTGTAACTTGTAATAAAATTTCTACTTTCACTCCTGTGATTTAATATCTGTGACATGTATAAATGACCTAATATTTTCTTGCTGTAAAAGGTAATACACTGAAAACGGCATAAGCATGCTGAAATATATCTGTTTTAAAATCATCTTGATTTATTTCCAATGTTGGTCAATTTTTCACTCTATGATTTTTTTGAATACGTAATTTTCACAAAGCTGGGTTTGGTGAAATAGAAATTGTTTTAAGATGTCCAAGACTCAAAGTGTGTTTAAATTTTGATACGTATATATTATAAGATGATATTTAAATGTATGTTTTAATTCTATGAGTCACTTTAAAAAAGACACCAGGTATATGGAATATTATTATCTCAAAATTGGTGCAATGTTGTATTTGAATCTTACAACTAACAATGAGATTATAGCTGTTATACATCTTGAGCAATGTTTGTTTGATGAAAATGATTTGTTTCCATCTCACTGTTCTTTAGAGCTGGTTTTATGTATATGTTTTTAGTTTATAGGTAGAGTTTTGAATTATTATTTTTGTTGATTAATGTAAATATGAATCCCAACTGCGTTTCAATTATTGCTTTGGCTCTTTTGTTTGTCTACAACAAAAATGAATAACCCAGTCCTCACATGAAACAATTTGTACGTCAATGAACCACTAAAATCTAGGACTTTAAATTCATTATGGCTAAATTATTTTGTATTATACTATGAAATTTGTATGTATTCTTAGCCGACTGAAACATATTAAAAGCCATCAATAAGCTACGGTTCTCAAATAGTTGGAGTTAGACACAGAAAACAGGAATTAAAATTGACATTAATATTAATGCCGAAGCCATTAATCTACCTATTGATTTGACGGATGCAAGACTTTGTCACAGTATATTTTCCCAGTATATTTCCAGTTTAGTAACGTCTGTATATAAAATATAGTTAATAGTTACGATATTCTCAGCAACTCTGTGACAATTACAAGTTACAACAAGACCTGTGGTAGAGACATCAACGCAGAAAGCTTCATCGTCAAGAGTTACACATTTTCAAGCTTATTTTAATAATCGAAGTGTCCAAAATTTAGTACAAGAACAGCAAAATACATTTGATTACTATTTATATTCATTATGGCTGTCAGCGTTAACAAACTTCGTTGATGAACTTTATGACAAAATTGCGTCCTCCAAAGATGTGTTAACCAATATTTGTATTGATAGTTATCTTTTTGATACTTTTGACAAATTTTGTGGAATAAACGCATTTTTGACTAAAAATTTAATATTATTGATGCTCCATGCTGGCATTTGTTTATAGTAATATAATAAACTAGCGAGGTGGGAACATCTTATGACGTCACGATAATTTGCATACAGTGGCGAAATTTAGCGTTAAAATTAAACAACTTATAACAAACCAAAAATGCTCAAACATACACCAAAATGTTTCTAAAAAACATATTTTCTTTTGGCGAAAGAAAAATGGAGTGAAACTTGGCCGGAGTTGCACTTAAACAAAATATCATTAAAGCAAACGAGCCACCAACGTTATGTTGTATATAATACCTACAAACTTACCAAAATATTTTGATGACAGAAAAACATGAGCATGACTTGGAACTGGAAATTTACTCTGTGTTTTTTGAGACTCATAATTTTCAGTTTTTTCGTACATCGTATAAAATTTGCTCAAAGACGAAGTGACGTGAGTATGGTCTTCACCTGGCACATTCAGTTTTCGAACTTCTACAGACTGTTCACCATAGTTTTTAGCTTTTTCTTGTTTTCCTGTTTTATCATAAACCAAACCGAAACGGTTGAAAGATGCAGGGACATTAATATGATTTGGACCTAAAGACTTGTTTCGAATTTCCAGTGCTTTTTTTTGAAACTCTTTAGCTTTGCCGTAGTTTCCAGTTTTATAATACACCAAACCAAGATTGTATAAAGACTGAGCAACATCAACATGATTTGGACCTAACGATTGTTTTAAAATTTCTAGAGCTTTTTCGTAAAATTCTGTGGCTTCATCGTACTTTCCAGTATCATAATACACCAAACCAAGATTGTGCAAAGAATGGGCAACATAAACATGATTTGGACCTAACGATTGTTTTCGAATTTCTAGAGCTTTTTCGCAAACCTCTTTAGCTTTGTCGTAGTTTCCAGTTATATAAAACACCATACCAAGATTGTTTAAAGACTGAGCAACATCAACATGATTTGGACCAAACGATTGTTTTCGAATTTCTAGAGCTTTTGTAAACCTCTTTAGCGCTGTCGTAGTTTCCAGTTTTGAAACACCATACCGAAGTTGTTTAAAGACTGAGCAACATCAACATGATTTGGACCCAAACGATTGTTTTCCAATTTCTAGAGCTTTCGTAAAACTCTGTGAAACTCATCGTACTTTCCATTATCATAATACACCAAACCAAGATTATATAATGACTGGAGCAACATCAACATGATTTGGACCTAACAGTTGTTTTCAGATTTCTGGAGCTTTCGGCAAAACTCTGTGGCTTCATCGTACTTCCAGTATAATATTACACCATACCAAGACTGTTTAAGACTGAGCAACATCAACATGATTTGGACCTAACGTTGTTTTAAAATTTCAGAGCTTTTCGTAAAACTCTGTGGCTTTATCGTACTTTCCATCATAATACATAAACCAAAGATTGTGTAAAGACTAGACAACATGTTTTGATTTGGACCTAACAGTTTTTCAATTTCTAGAGCTTTTTCATGAACCTCTATAGCTTTGTCGTAGTTTCCAGTTTTTTCAAACACCAAACCAAGATTGTTTAAAGACTGGGCAACATAAACATGATTTGGACCTAACGTTGTTTTTTCAATTTCCAAAGAGCTTTTTCGTGAACCTCTATAGCTTTATCGTAGTTTCAGTTTTTCAAACACAAACCAAGATTGTTTAAAGACTGACTGCATAAATATGATTAGGACCTAACGATTGTTTTTCCGAAGATTTCTAGAGATTTTCGTAAACTCTGTGGCTTCTCGTACTCCAGTATCATAATACCTGAAACCAAGATTGTATAAAGACTGGGCAACATAAACATGATTTGGTTCTAACGATTGTTTTCGAATTTCCATAGCTTTTTCGTGAACTTCTATAGCTTTGTCGTAGTTTCCAGTTTTTCAAACACCAAACCAAGATTGTTTAAAGAATCAGCAACATCAACATGATTTGGACCTAACGATTGTTTTCGAATTTCCAGAGCATTTTCGTGAACCTCTATAGCTTTGTTGTAGTTTCCTGTTTTTACAAACACCAAACCAAGATTGTATAAAGACTGAGTAACATCAACATGATCTGGACCTAACGATTGTTTTCGAATTTCTAGAGCTTTTTCGTAAAACTCTGTGGCTTCATTGTACTTTCCAGTATCATGGCCTGGAAAACCAAGGTTTACAAAGTCTGGGCAACATAAACATGATCAGGACCTAACGTTTTATGAATTTCTAGAGCTTTTCGTAAACTCTGTGGCTTTATCGTACTTTCAGTATAATAATACGCAAACCAAGATTGTCACAAAGACTGGGCAACATAGTACGATTTGGACCTGTGATGGTTTCGAATTTCTAAGAGCTTTTTCGCAAAACCTCTTTAGCTGTCGTAGTTTCCAGTTATATAAAACACCATGCAAGATTGTTTAAAGACTGAGCAACATCAACATGATTTGGACCCTAACGATTGTTTTTCGAATTTCTAGAGCTTTTCGTAAACCTCTTTGGCGCTGTATCGTAGTTTCCAGTTTTATAAAACACCATACCAGAGGATTGTTTAAAGAACTGAGCAACATCAACATGATTTGGACCTAACGATTTTCCGAATATTTAAGACTTTTCGTAAAATTCTGTGGCTTCATCGTACTTTTCAGTATCATACGCAAACCAAGATTATAGCTGGGCAACATCAACGCGGTTTGGACATATTGATTGTTTTCGAATTTCTAAATTTTTCGTAAAAACTCTGTATCGTACTTTCAATTATAATGTACCATACCAAGATTGTTTAAAGACAGAACAACATCAACATGATTTGGACCTAACGATTGTTTTAAAATTTCTAGAGCTTTTCGTAAAACTCTGTGGCTTCATCATTACTTTCAGTATCATAATAAACCAAACCAAGATTGTGTAAAGACGGGCAACATAAACATGATTTGGACCTAACGATTGTTTCGAATTTCTAGAGACTTTTCATAAACCTCTTTAGCTTTGTCGTAGTTTCCAGTTTTTTTCAAACTACCAAACCAAGATTGTTTAAGACTGGGCAACATAAGATGATTGGGACCCTAGCAATTGTTTTCAATTTCAGAGCTTTTCGTGAACCTCTATAGCTTTGTCAGTTCCAGTTTTTAAACTTTTAAATAAGATTGTTTAAAGACTGGGCAACTTATAAACAGAATTTAGTTCTAACAATTTAACAATTTCCATAGCTTTTCGTGAACTACTATAGCTTTGTCGTAGTTTCCAGTCTTTTCAAACACAAACCAAGATTGTTTAAAGAATCAGCAACATCAACATGACTTGGACCTAACGATTGTTTTCAATTTCCATAGCTTTTCGTGAACTTCTATACAGCTTTGTCGTAGTTTCAGTTTTTCAAACACCAAACCAAGATTGTACCAAAGACTGAACAACATCAACATGATTTAGTTCTTGATTGTTTTCGAATTTCTAAAACTTTTCGGCAAAACTCTGTGGCTTCATGTGCTCCAGTATCATAATACATGAAACCAAGATTGTATAGACTGAGAACCTTATAAACATGATTTGGTTCTTTTGATTGTTTCCAATTTCAGAGCTTTTTATTGAATTCTGCTTTGTCGTAGTTTCCAGTTCTTTCAAACACCAAACCAAGATTGTTTAAAGACTGGGCAACATAAACATGATTGGACCTAACGACTGTTTCAATTTCAGAGCTTTCGTGAACCTCTTTAGCTTTGTCATCAAAGTTTTTCAAACACCAAACCAAGATTGTTTAAAAGGCTGGGCAAATAAACATGATTAGGACCTAACGATTGTTTTCAATTTCTAAAGCTTTTCATGAAACTCTGTAGCTTCATCATGCTGGTATAATACCATACAAGATTGTTTAAAGACTGAGCAACATCGACATGATTTGTGGACCTAACTGATTGGTTTAAAATTTCTAGAGCTTTTCGGCAAACTCTGTGGCTTCATCCCGTACTTTCAATTATCATAATACACCAAACCAAGATTGGCACAAAGAATGACAACAAGAGAATTGGACCCTAACGATTGTTTTCGAATTTCTAGAGCTTTTTCGCAAACCTCTTTAGCTTTGTCGTAGTTTCCAGTTATATAAAACACCATACCAAGATTGCTTAAAGACTGAGCAACATCAACATGATTTGGACATAACAATTGTTTTCGAATTTCTAGAGCTTTTTCGTAAACCTCTTTAGCGCTGTCGTAGTTTCCAGTTTTATAAAACACCATACCAAGATTGTTTAAAGACTGAGCAACATCAACATGATTTGGACCTAACGATTGTTTTCGAATTTCTAGAGCTTTTTCGTAAAACTCTGTGGCTTCATCATACTTTCCAGTATCATAATACAAACCAAAGATTATATAATGACTGGGCAACATCAACATGATTTGGACCTAACGATTGTTTTCAATTTCTGAGCTTTTTTCGTAAAACTCTGTGGCTTCATCATTACTTTTCAGTATAATAATATTACACCATACCAAGACTGTTTAAAGACCAGGCAACATCAACATGATTTGGACCTAACGATTTTTACAAAATTTCTAGAGCTTTTCGTAAAACTCTGTGGCTTCATCGTACTTTCCAGTATCATAAATACACAAAACCAAGATTGTGTAAACTGGAACAACATAAGCATGATTTGGACCTAACAGTTGTTTTCAATTTCAGAGCTTTTCGAAACCTCTTTAGGCTTTGTCGTAGTTTCCAGTTTTTCAAACACCAAACCAAGATTGTTTAAAGACTGGGCAACATAAACATGATTTGGACCTAACGATTGTTTTCGAATTTCCAGAGCTTTTTCGTGAACCTCTATAGCTTTGTCGTAGTTTCCAGTTTTTTCAAACACCAAACCAAGATTGTTTAAAGACTGGGCAACATAAACATGATTTGGACCTAACGATTGTTTTCGAATTTCTAGAGATTTTTCGTAAAACTCTGTGGCTTCATCGTACTTTCCAGTAACATAATACACCAAACCAAGATTGTATAAAGACTGGGCAACATAAACATTATTTGGTTCTAACGATTGTTTTCGAATTTCCATAGCTTTTTCGTGAACTTCTACAGCTTTGTCGTAGTTTCCAGTTTTTTCAAACACCAAACCAAGATTGTTTAAAGAATCAGCAACATCAACATGATTTGGACTAAGTTGTTTCAATTTAGAGCTTTTCGTGAACCTCTATAGCTTTGTCGTAGTTTCCAGTTTTTCAAACACAAAACCAAGATTGATTAAAGAACCAACAACATAAACATGATTTGGACCTAACGATTGTTTTCGAATTTGAAGAGCTTTTTCGTGAACCTCTATAGCTTTGTCGTAGTTTCCAGTTTTTACAAACACCAAACCAAGATTGCTTAAAGACTGAGCAACATCGACATGATTTGGACCTAACGATTGTTTTCGAATTTCCAGAGCTTTTTCGTGAACCTCTATAGCTTTGTCGTAGTTTCCAGTTTTTACAAACACCAAACCAAGATTGTTTAAAGACTGGGTAATATAAACATGATTAGGATTTAACGATTGTTTTTGAATTTCTAGACATTTTTCGTAAAATTCTGTGGCTTCATCGTACTTTCCAGTATGATAATACACCAAACCAAGATTATATAATGACTGGGCAACATCAACATGATTTGGACCAAACGATTGTTTTCGAATTTCCAGAGCTTTTTCGTGAACCTCTATAGCTTTGTCGTATTTTCTAGTTTTATCAAACACCAAACCAAGATTGTTTAAAGAATCAGCAACATCAACATGATTTGAACCTAACGATTGTTTTCGAATTTCCAGAGCTTTTTCGTGAACTTCTATAGCTTTGTCGTAGTTTCCAGTTTTTTCAAACACCAAACCAAGATTGTTTAAAGAATCAGCAACATCACTATGATTTGGACCTATCGATTGTTTTCGAATTTCTAGAGCTTTTTCGTTAACCTCTCTATAGCTTTGTCGTAGTTTCCAGTTTTCAAACACCAAACCAAGATTGTTTAAGATCAGCAACATCAACATGATTTGGACCTAACGATTGTTTTCAATTTCTAGAGCTTTTCGTAAAATCAGCTTCATCGTACTTTCCAGTATCATAATACACCAAACCAAGATTGTATAAAGACTGGGCAATATAAACATGATTTGGACCTAACGATTGTTTTCGAATTTCTAGAGCTTTTTCGTAAACCTTTTTAGCTTTGTCGTAGTTTCCAGTTTTATAAAACACCATACCAAGATTGTTTAAAGACTGAGCAACATCAACATGAGTTGGACCTAGCGATTGTTTTCGAATTTCTAGAGCTTTTTCGTGAACTTCTTTAGCTTTGTCGTAGTATCCACTTTCATAAAACAATTTACCAAGATTATTCAAAGACTTAGCATCATTAACATATTTTGGACCTGACGATTGTTCTTGAATTTCCATATCTTTTTCTTGAAACTCTATAGCTTTTTCGTTATTTCCAGATTGCCTAAATTGTATTATTTAATTCGATTAATTTGCACATATCAACCTTAGCGTCAACAACTTAGCATCGACGAAAGACAATTGCAACGTCACAACGATAAGCAAAATTCTTTAGCTCCATAAAAAATGTGGACTTACTAAATTGAACAAGCGATACTATAGTTTATGACAAAGATAAACACACTTGTTGATTAATGTTTCTACTTCTAAAACGACTTAAATATCTAAACTATGCAGTATTGTTGTATGTGTCCATTGCGATTTTAAAGTAAATGTACTTCGTGGTGAGTCATAAATAATTACATATACTCTAAAAAGGATTACCTTGTTTAAGATGGCAGTGATTTGTTTTTGGTAAGCATATTGTTCTTTTTTGGAATCGTAACTTCGTTTGATTTATCTACATTTACAGAATTACAAGCTTCCATGGATCACATTTATACGTCGTAATCAAACATGAAAATTCTTTGTTTTTTGTCCTACAAATCTTTTACTGGTTAACGGCGTGTAGCCTTGAACAGTTGAGCTTTTAGAAAGATGTAAAGTTCTGACAACTTAAGCATCATATATTCTTCCTTCGAGTCGGTATTTGGAAAATTATTTTGTGCCACGGAATTTAAAACATCTTAAGAATAGATTGCTATGTAAAGCAAACATATGGTTTTATGATTTTTATTGTTTTTGTTCATAAGTTTGATTATAATTTGAAACAAATTTATCAATAGAAATAAGTATAATTTTACTAAATTATGCTAGTTTAAAGTATTTGAGTATGACTATAAAGTTTGTAGTGTTAAAAGAATTAATAAGTTGTACTCATATCTGTTTTTAAATTTATTATAACTATAATGCGATGAATTTACGCACATGAACCTTCATAACCAAAGCGACGAAGACAATTGTAACGTTAAAAGGTTAGCAAATTCTTTGTACATTAAAATGTAGACTTACAAACTAGTTTATCACAAAGATAACACTCTTCCTGATCATTATTTCTACTTCTAAAACGAATTAAATATCTAAACTATTCAATGATGACATGTATGAGTCTATTTGCAATTTTAAAGTAAAAATTGAGTCATAAATTTCCTTCAATAATGACAAAAGCCATAAAGTGAATATTAAACACATATTTTACAAACAGATGTGTGGGCTTAACAACTATAACAAGCATTTTAACTCTCTTATATACAAACAATAGATTTCCAAAGAAATGCATAACGATGTTCTGAAGTATACATAGAACGTTTAGAACATGCTGACTGGCTACATTACAGTGATACATGTCATATGTGACTTGAATTATCGGTTCAATGAACGCTATCTCATACAGACATACACATCGATTAAAATTTGCTGAAAAGGAGTCTTAGTAAAACGGTTTTCAAACACAATGACAAACAATTTTTCGTTGAAACTCTTCAGAAATCATAAGGACCACTGCTTCCATGATTTGAGCAAGGGAGAAAACTCACGTGACATGTACTCTAAGCAAAGACGCTCGGCAAATGCAAATATGGTTATGATAGAGCAGGGACATTCGACTGAACATTGAGCAAAAGACATCTTTTTGAAATCTCAAAAATCTACAGCATATACTTACGCATTCAAAAATTACGGAATGTTTAGAAGTGAGCAAAAGCATAGGTTTTGAAATATATTGCCATGCTCAAACCCTAAAACGTTTTCTTGCAAAAGAAATACACTTTGTTCAAAACTGCAAAATATAGTTACATTATTCGATATTAATGACGTAAATCTGTTTTTCGTGTTTTTTACAAACATGCACACAGATCAAGGATTGTATTTAGCATTTACATAATTGATTGCAAAAACAAACAGGTGTCACGGCCATATGCTAAAACGCAAAGCGCAATGTCAGCAGCAATGTTTTCACTACTCCTTATCTATTGCTTTACTACTCGCTATCTATTGAAAATAAGTAGAGAGCAATTTTTATATTTCTATAAAAGAATCAAATACTCTCCATAAATTTGATAAGTCAATTATTGAACAAACAAGCTAACATGGCAATGTTGACATGCTATTGAATTTATCACGCATTTTGTAGAACTTAGTATTGCCTTGGTATATGGTTTCTTCATAACTTTAGAGCAAAATCACTGATTTTTAGCAATTCAATTCTATCAACATGAAATTTTTAAACACTGAGTCTTGTCGACGTGTCAACTATCCGCCATATACTAAATATCGTTCGGATTCCAAGTTTGTCTCTAAAAGGCAATACAGGCTAATAAACTCTCATAAGACAGTTTACATTGTAAAATCATTGATGTTAAAGAACAAGAACATTTCAACATATAGAACAAACAATTTAAGAGTAGATTATGTAAACAAGATATGGCTTATAGTTTTTATTGTTTATGTTCATAAAATTGAATATAAATTGGATCAAATTGATCAATAGAATTGAGAAGTATAGATTTTACTAAATTTTACGGAACAACCAAGCGACAAACACACCCACGGGCATCAACGTCACGGCGAAGATCGAAAAGGTCAGACGACCAACCATATCCGCCGCCGGGTCCAGTGAGGAATGGACTTATTTCCAAACACGCTGGCAGGATTATGTCAATGCCACAAAAATAACCGGCAAAGACAAAGTCATCCAATTGCTGGAATGCTGTGACGAAACGCTACGTAAGGACCTCACCAGAAACTCTGGCGGCACCCTCACAAACAAACCCATCGACGACGTCATGGCTGCAATCCGCGAACTTGCTGTAGGAGAGGAAAACACGATGGCGGCTCGTATCAAACTACACAACATGCGCCAGGATCGTGACGAAACTGGCAGTCGCAGACGCCTCAACAAATCCAGGTTCTTCGTACTCGGTTGCACCAACCTCACAATCGCTGTAGACCACAAACGTCTACTCAAACTATTCGGTAATCGGACATTGGAGAATATCCCAAGCCCCCGCCTACGCAATCTCAAGGAGAAGTTACTGTGATGGGTCCCAGTAGTCCATATCCCTGGTATCCGTCACAAAACCGCCGATGCGATCTCGCCACCTCACAGCAGATCTATGGAACTCCCGTACTTCACCTCAAAGGACGGCTTATAGCAGGTTGATGACTTACAACTACACAGACTGGCTTTGATGAACCATCCTTTGCTCCACTTCTCATTTTTTCTTACAAACGTCGCCTTACAGCCTGGGACGGGGTACGCATGGCAGCTGCCAGCGACACCACTATGCACAATCTCATGAATGTCATTGAATCCCCTGGCCTTCAGCTTCGTAATGACCTCCATCACCATTACAACAAAATACCAGTTTCGCCACAGCCTCTACACAGTGGACGGCGTCATCGTCTGTACAGAGATCGTGTGTTTATCCCACCACTGTTGCGCAAAATATCCTGGAGTGCTGCACTCGGCACCAGGACATATCATCTGCATCCCGCGCAGAGGACGCAGTCTTCGGCGGGAATCACCTCAGATATTGCAGCAATGCGTACACAATGCAACCACTGCAGCGGATAGCACCACCATCACAAGAACCAAACGCACCGCCCGCAATCATCACCCGGCCACCACCTTCCGAATTGCGTCTTTGATATGATATTGAGCCGACCATATGATAATGACCATATGATAATGACCATATGATAATGACCATTCCTAATCTTTACAAAAATCAGCTCGAAACATTGCCAGTCCTAAACAAAGTTCTTTCTCTTTAAAAGTTGGTCTTAATGGTTGTGATATTGGGGAAAATGACCGTGCTGTTTCTGGCGAAGTTGATATTTTAGATGTTTCTTTTTGCCATGGAAAAGCTGATTTTTTTAGTGCAGCCTTAGATGCAGATATTGGGGAAAGGCATTTTTCTGGTTCTTCTGATTTTGAACATGATAGTTTAAATGTTTCTTTTCAAGATAGGTTAGTTGATTGGGTGAATGAGTATTCAACTAAACAAAATGCTGTTGATGGTTTGCTTGCTCTTCTTAAGGATAATGGTCATCCAAATTTTCCTAGTTCTGCTTACACTTTGTTGCATACATCAAGATGTATTCCCATTCAGAAAAAATCTAGCATGGATTACGTGTACTTTTCTTTTGGTGAACAATTGTTAAAGCACTTTCACAAGCCCCTTGTGAAACAGTTAAGAACATTTATCATCTTGAAATCTCTTTAAATGTCGATGGGTTCCTTTGTTTAAAAGTTCTGCAAAAAATGTATGGCCAGTGTTGTGTGCCATTTTTAATATCAAACCTGTTGTAGTGTTTCCTATTGTCCTAACATGTGGTGACTTCAAGCCAAAAGACTTGGAGTTTTTGGATTAGTTTATAGAAGATTTCAAGGGTATTCTAGAGAACGGGGGGGCGAAGATGGGCTACATGCATCAACTGTGTCTGCGTGTTATTCGTAAATTGATTATGGTTTGGATGAGGGGAAATTACGCTGTTAAAATGTCAGTTGCCTATGTAGAGGCTGTTAGTAAAAAATTAGTGGAGCTTAAACCATTTATCCCCTCTACATTTGTCGAAAACCTAGGAGTTTAATGGAGGTTGACAGATGGAAAGCTACAGAATTCAGACAGTTTCTTTTGTTTACCGGCAAAATTTCTTTCGGCCGTCAATGAAATCTAATCAACAAATTTTAGAAGTAAATACTGTAGTCGCAATGCAATAGGTCATTGCTTTATTCAAAGCAGTGCCGTTTTTCACACATTGCTACCTTGCATTTAAATCTAATGAGTGATTTTGCTTTTTAGATTTGCCGGTGTACAGTGAACTGATCTCCCTTGCAGAAAAAGGTGTAAGCGCTATTATAATCCTTGTACAAGTAGACAATATTTTACAGAAACATGCATGTATAAAAATTCTCTTTTAATCTTAATATAATGTTGATATATATTTATATGACGGTGAACTAGCACCAGAAATTCTAAACACAAAGGATTATGCGATAACTTCCCCATCTACTAGTAGGACACCATCTCAGCCTAGTGGTAAGTTTTCTGTCATCAGAACTGACTAATCAGCAACTTTCATATAATATGTCGACTAAAATGTTGAAATAATTTTGATTGACTCTTTTTAAATAACTTTAGCATTCGTATTGTACATTTACTGTTTTTCTACGTCCATCGTTGCATTATAGGGCTTATAAATGTTCTACAGGTGCTGTAGGCGTTGGTCCTTTAAAATGTTGTTGTAATTAGTTGAAAAAATGTTAGATATAGTTAAAATTGCAGTTGTGTTCACCACGATTTAATCAAAATACATTCGTTCAAATCTAATTCTCAGCGTTTGCTATCAAACTACTGCATTAAACTTTCTCGAGGTTTTGATTTTAGTCACCTTTCTGTTTTTGACTTTTGAAACTTGTAGTGCCTTAATTTAAATGACGTTCATTTTATATTTTTAAGATATTACGTACATAGGTTATACATAAGTTATTCTGTTATTTTCTTATCTATCTTGTAGGCTTCCAAAGATCAGTTCTCACCAAACTGGAAACATTAATTGATAAGCAAGAAGAAGCATTGCAATATTGCGTGCTCTGTTAAGCGCTAAGAAAGGTGTAGACGAGCACGAAATTTTGGAAAGTGTTGTACCTAATCCCTTAGATTTTGTTTAAGAACTTGAGGAGCTATCCTCTAGTCTTGATCAAAAAAAAGTCCAGAAGAAAGTTGGTAAGTTTTGGAAAGTTAACCACCCATACGTAGTCAGTAATATTTATTGTCACTGCCTATTTTTTATGCATGACTCTTTCAAAAGTTACGTAAAAAAAATGTGCAAAGGAAGGCATAGCCTGTCCCCTTTATCGGGTTGAAAACGTGAAAATGATAGTTTTATTTGCAATTACCTAACATAATATTGACTTTTTTTCTACCATTTGTGTTTGAAGCTTGAAAACATGCACGTTTGTCAAGTCTGAAACGTAATTTTAATGACGACTCCCGTGACGTTAGGGGGTCATATTATCTGATTAAACTATATGAATCTAGCATCGTGTTTTTTGTGAGAGCATTGTCGTGTTCTGATTGATTTAAATACGTTACTATACTATAAACGGCTCTTAGGAGTGTGTCGTTTTATTTGTGCTGAAAAATTCTAACGAAGATACTGGTCTTTCTAAAAGCTCTCACCATTCACTTTGGATGGTTTTATTTTACAATTCGAGATCAAAATGTTTATATATATATGTCTAAATTGAACTTTTCCATATAATTTATCTTTTACTCTCTTTACTAGTTGCAGTTTTTGATAGCATTGTGCGCAAACAACTGCGCAAACAGTGTTACAAGAATTATGACAAAGCTAGAAACATATAATCTATGGTTCCAATATAGTTTAAAAGGCAGAAAGCTAAAGCGACCATTTCAGCACCTTGCCCTCTGCAAAGTTATAACAAGTAAGCAAAATTAGACAATAATGTTTGCTGCAGCAGTACCATGTTTTGTCTCTTTTTTCTCGTTCATGAATTGGAAACACAGCCATTTATGATGCTCCTTGTCATAAAGAATATTATTGCAAGTTTTAAAAGCTAATACATTAAACTGTTTTGCATACGTCATTTGTTTCATTTTCTAAACTTAGACAGGGAGAACTCAACTTATTTTACTCCGTAATCTCATAGTTAACATATTTGTAATTTCTTGTCTGTGTAAGTTGAGGCAAATACACAATACCATTATTGGCATGTGCACTTAAAGAAAGTGAGCATGTGTCTTTCATTGTCCTTCAATTATAAGTAAAGCAAAATGGAATGGACACATATACATAATGCGTACCTTTAAAAACGTTCATTTTAGTGCAGGTATTAGATTTATGCAAGTTTAAAATTTTGTTAACTCAAACTGCATGATTAGATTTATAATATACAATTTGCTTAGCGTGATATTAAACAATTATTGAATGAAATAGTTTATGAATTAAGACTTATGAAGGCCAAGGTTTGTTCAGTCTACTAACCTTGAGGCAGATTGAGCATATTGATGCCTTGATATTTCTTTATATTACGTGAAAACCCAATTCAATAATTGTTTTATTATTTATATAAAAAAGCAAGTGTTGGTTAAATGTGAAAAAGGTGCCGTAACCATTAAAGTTTTGTTCACTTGTTTTGTTTCTCGTGCGTATGAGATGACGTTGTAGCGCGAGGTAATTTCTTATATCCGACGTACGTACGTAGTGGCATTTATATAAATGGATTTATTTGATTGCTTTCAAGTGAATAAAAGTAAAAAATGATTTGATCTATCCACAGCAGACGATTCAGTTTTCCATTTAAATGGCATCTCTTACAGACAAATATGTCAATGTTGTTGCAGGTGGTAAGACATATAAAAATGATATATAGACTAACATTTTCTAATAATCATATATGCTTTTTTCTTGTAGGTCCGAAATGGCAACTTATTGGAATCGACTTAATTAGCATTTTTGTAAATATGTATATTAAAACACGCACTGCAAAATAGATGAATTAAAAGTTGATTATACGGAAATTAAACTTTAGTTCGTATCATTGGAAAGGCTGTTTTATGATTTCACAAATAATGCATCATTTATTGTATGTTGTATGAACGCCGGATAAACGTTGTATGAACGTTGTACAAACGTCGGGTTTAGGTTGAAAATACGTTGCATCCCAACGTTTATCCTAACGTCGCCACCACGTTCCTACGAGTTCACAAAATTATGTTGTCTCAACGTTGGTCCTCGACGTTGAGTGAACGTTCGACAAACGTTGGTAAAACGTTGAGGCAACGTGATTTTGCTAGCTGGGTAAGCACTTCAGGAAAATTTTTTTTGTTTATGGAAGTTGGAGGTACGTACGTCAACGCCATATTTCCGACGGTCTCCATTTCAGTACTTTTTCGTAGGCCATGTTGATCGTTACGGTAATTTTACTCAAAAACAGTTGAAATTGCTTAATTCATTTAAATGAAGTGCATAAATAGAAACTCTCGTACCGGTTAGCAATTTACTTAGTGTATATCATTAGATTTTCTACTCTTCATACTCAATTCATCACTATATCTGATGTGAATACAAATCTTACATAATTATACATAATTATAGCTATGTATAATATGGCTGTATTCAGAAATTAACTTTTAACTAACTCGTACATTTACAATACGCGAAAGTGAGGCAAATGTATAGGTTTGTCAGCACTTTCGCTATCATGGAATGATGGAAATTTCCAAATGAGTAAAATAGAAGAGTTGCTGTACACAAATAATACAAAGCATTTGTGGATATGCACACGAAAGTTCTCTAGAATGGAAAAGCAAGGATGACCCAACACTAAAAACATGGGGTGTTTACATAGGTGCGTATAAAGTATAGCAGCTTAAAAAATTGAAAAACGTATGCAACAGTTGTTAGCAAAAAATTCCAAAATTTTTGACCTGCACGGGACCTGATACCTGCCTACATGGGATTTTTCCTTTGAAATAGGTATGCAAAGTACGTGTACATGTTTCATGTTAGCCTGTCAAAGGTTTTAGATTGTGTAACAATTATTTAGTTTCTTTCAATAACATTTCATACTTCCCCGTTGATTATCAGCCGATCGCAACTAATACAAGGTAAATCTTACTAGAAAAAGTCTTTGAAAGAACACATTTCATATTTTTGGAAACAAGCGAAATACTACATCCAAACTACGTATTGGTTAACACATTCGAGCGACGTTATAATGGGAGCAAGCAATATCAAAATAAGAAAGTATTAAAACCTGAAACATATATTTATGTGCGCTTGACCTTTAAAATTTCAACTTTTTGTTGGGAATGCAACGTTTAGGTAAAGCTAAATTAATTAATGTTTGATATTTCTGACAGGGCGGATTTATCTCTATAGGCTACAAAAATACCATACTACAAATCATACTTTATATTATTGTTATAAATTCACCAAAAATTACCACGAACATGACTATTAAATAGCGACAATATACATCCAAACAACGTCACAGAAATTTTGTCTCTCCATAAACATACAACATGAATTGTGAGGGAACAACGCTGAATTAAAATCCCGTCGCTTACGCAAACGTTACATGACTATTATTACAAAATTTTGAATACTTACGTAGATATTTAGGAGTACAAATAGTCGTTCTTGCATACAGCTTGAAGATACCGTGTTAAGCTCGACTCTTTAAAAACGAACAAAAAATTGGGGGAAACCCTAACGCTTTAAGGGGAGTCCCGAATAAAATGGCGCGTGATCCAATTTCAATTAGTATATAATAACACAAGTCTACTCAAAAGTAGAAAGCCTTATACGCTACAAGTCACGGGCTTGTGACCGGTATAATAGAGTTAAATGGTGAAAGGTTTATCATAGATTAATCAACTGACTATTCCTGCTCATTTTTCTTTGGAAGCATGCTGAACAGTCCATATGGACAAAGCTCGAATTCCATATTAAATATCAGTAACATAATCCGGTGTAAATGTTAGACAATACATCATTGACCTTTAGTGAAAGCATCCCGCTTTCCACTGGAAAAGAATGAATCTAATATCGATGTTAATATATATTATTTCCTAAATATTGCATACCATAGAAGCCCATGCAAAATCTCATATAAACGTTAAATTAAGCAAATTCTATTTCGTCACTGTTCTACGTCACTAGGAAGTCATGTGAGATAGAGCGCGCGATATCAAGATCAGTTCGAGCGTAGATTTCACAGCGTTATCAGTTACAAAAAGTTCCTTTCCACACTATATTACAAATTTTTGAATTATGAGTATAATTAAAAATATACGACAGGAGATGAAACAGCACTCCGGGGTTTTGCTGATCACGATGAACACGATAACATTGAAGAAAGCGAAGATGTGCAAGTCACATCAAGGAATTTGAATATGGCAACCACCCTTGCTAGGATGAGTGAAGCAACAACCACAATGAGTAAATCACTCAGCTTATTGCAGGAAACATCAGTATCCTCTACAGTAGAATCTACTCGTAAGAGGAAAGCAAGTGCTTTAGTCAAGGCATGACGCAGATTGCGAAGAACTTTCGACCAAGCGCAATTCTAAAGCAGAACAAGTAGCAGTGGACCCGCTGCGGGAAGAGATACCGCAAACACTTGACGAAACTGAGAAGACTTCACCAATCGTCAACAGGAAGCTGGCCTCAATTATCCACCGGCTGAACAAACTGAGCTACGAACAATTGAAGGAAGAATATTTTAGTCCTAAGAACTGCGATTGTCTTATTGTACCTAAGATAAGCCCCGAAATTTGGGGGAAATTAGACCACCCAGCTAGAGGCGAGATTTGCAATTGAGTGCCATTCAATCAACCATGACGAATATAGCAACACAAACCACCAATAAACTGTTGGTTGCTTGCAATAACAGCGTGCAGCGAACTGAATATTGATGATCTTGTTCGTACGAACGCTATTATCATGGTAATCCTGGGACATGTAAGTTTTGAATTGTCTAAACGACGATGTGACGCTATACGTCCAAATCTCCATCCAGAATTTAGTACTTTATGCGCATCGCATGTTCCCATTACGAAATATTTGTTTGGAGATGAATTGCAAACCCAAATTAATCACATTCGCACAAGCAACAAAATTAACAACGCGACAACAAGTTCTTAATTCTGATACCACTTGGCAGCAACATTCAAGACAAGAGAAACGACAATGGCGCCATTTTTCATCCCGTCATCAGGGCAACACCCTCTATCGGTCGAAGTGGAAACAATTCAGAAAGAAACGATCGGACACAATGAACGATCGCAAGTAAAAACAAATTTTTAAGAAACTTTGAGATTTTATAGAGAAACCAGTATTCTTCTTTTGTACCCACGCTAAAAAGCGTATCTAAATAAAAGCTTTGAGACCTATCAGGCTGACAGCATATCAAATTTAAGAGCATGGTAAACACTCAACTCTGATAAGAAAATCTTACAGACAGTTGGAGAAAAAAATTAATTTGACACTATTCCTATTCATTGAGCTTCATCCAAAAAATACAACTTTTGGTTTCCGATTCAAATCAGTCCTTATGCGAATATCTTTGACTACAGAACGAGCTGAGAAGATAAAACGCATTTTTAATCAGCTGCTACAAGCGTCTCACACAAAAATAAGGGATGTTATACGGGTTTTGGGCACTCTACCTTTGAGTCTCCTGGGCGTAATGTACGATCAGTTGCATTATTGCTGGCTGGAAATAGATAAAAGCGACGCCCTTAAGTTAAACAGCGGTAAATTTGACGGGACAATGAGCCTGTCTTCAGAGGCCATACATGATTTAAGATGGTGACAGTCATTATTACGCACTACTCACTGGCACTTTATAACCACAATGAGCCTAGCATTTGCCTAAATACAGATGCCTCCTTGACAAGGTGGTGCTGCTCCATAAATGATTTATGTGCTCGAGGTAACTGGATGCCCTTGGAGGCTTCCAGCCGTATAAATTATTTGGATATTCTTGCGGTATTGTTTTCCCTTGAATCATTTTCTTCAGAACTATTCACGTGTGCCATTCAAAAACAAAACGTAACTCCGAACATTGATTTGTTTGCGTCAAGGTTGAATAATCAAGTGAAACCCTATGTTTAATACCAACATAATCCGTATGCTATAGCTGTCAACGCCTTTACGATATCGTGAGCCAATTATACATTTTATGGGTTCCCGCTTTTTAGCATAATTTCGCAAGTGTTACAAACAATAGTACAAGAGAAAAGCACAGGACTAGTCTTAGTCCCTAATTGGCCAACACAAACTTGGGGGGCCGCTTTAATGCAGATGCTAATAGCACATCCAGTTGTTTTACCTCGAGGAAGAACGACATCCCCCCCCAATCAACACAAAACTGGAGTTACTACTTTGCCATTTATCGGGAAACTCCTCTCTCATGAAGTCATTTCACTAGAGGGCTTCTCAAATCATCCAGAAGGCCGGGTGGACCGGTACCAAGAACAATATTCTACATACCTTAACCGTAGGCGACAATATTGCAGTGCAAACAATATCGATCCTGTCGCGTCCTCTGTAGAAGAGGGCATTAATTTTCTTAAAAAATTTTACCAGGAAGGTTTATCCTACAGCGGTATTAATACTGCAAGGAGAGCCTTGACGGCCTTGTGTACAATCCTAATGCTACCAAGTGGCATCTCGTTTGGTACACATCCACTCGTTGCTAGGTTTGTTAAAGGTGTATTTGATGCAAGACCAGCTCTTTCTAGATAATGCCACGGTCTGGGATGTTTTAGTGGTATTCAACATCTTCGAAAACTCTACCCTCCATAAGATGTCAATTAAAAAAATCCTCAACACAAATCCAAAAAAGTAATGCTCTTAGCTTTATTATATGTATATAATAAGTCCAGCTAAAACTGTGGGCTTTTATATCGAATACAGACTTTAATAAATCGTTTTATTAAAGTCTGTAAATACATCCTTTTTTTGCATGAGGAGGTATCCATGATCATCTTCAGCTTGAGCCAATACAAAATGATGGTTCTAATCAACATCAGTATCCTATGAACTTTTCCCTTTAACTCTAATGGAGCAACTTATCTGTGTCAAAAGCTCTTTTATTTTTAAACGTAAAAAATGTTTTACTGAGTTTAACAAATTGCTATAAAAGTTTATTTCTAATTCTTAATTTTCTAATCAAGGCTTATGCCAAGCAACTAATTAAGAGGTTTTTTCTCAGCATTAAGGATTGGAAGGATTTCTTTATAGAGTCCACACTGTTCAAGTTTTTCTATTTCCCTTCCAATCACAGGACTCTCGAACTGCGATTAGCTAGTTCAGCGTACTTATGGGTCAGATTTATAATTGTGGTTAGCATGAATCAATAAAATCTAAAACTTATTAAAATAACAAATGTGGAACTGGTAGACGTGGCTCTCTTACGCTACATTTAATTAGCAAATTTCTTTTTTATTTATTTAATTGTACTTACAGAACATAGAAACGGTAGGTCTTCACAGACTCTTTATTTGTGTATGGAGTTTTTCAGATAAAACTTACAGTAATATAAATTACAAATAAATGGACATCATTTTATGATCTTGCTATATCAAAGCTGCATGTTAAATTACATTTACAATACAATATAGCATAATATCAACATAATTGTATTATTAATTTACAAGGATATTCTATCATCGTGGATGGATGATACAATAAAAAATACAATGAACATTTTTCAAAATTACTAAAATGTAAAACTGAATAGAATAAAAATCATTTACAGGAGTGAAAAATAATAAATTGGCAAGTAATTACGAAAAATAGCAATAATTGCTTTGCATGATTTCATCAAAGTTCACGCGCCTCATTTTGTGCTCCCATAGCCGAGTTTTGCACACGTAATTCGTCTACCTCGTCCAAACGCTTGCTAGTCCATTGTATAGTAGATGTATTAGCTCTTACTTCACGCTCTAAAATTTCCACTTTTTCAAAGAGATTGACAAAAAAAGCAGGGACTTGGTCAGCCATGCCTTGAATTCGCACAAGTGATACGTCAATATGGTCGAAAGGCTCGTAAAACTGTAACATAATGAATGAATTATCTCTTGCTTGCCGCTCGAGGGTCGCAATCCTTTCACGCATCGAGAAACCATCTACAGACAATTGAGTGTTATTATTATTGTTCCAATAACGATCCTCTAGAGTCTCAATTCTCCTTTCTAAGCCTGTAAGTTTTCCAACTAACATCACTAAATTGTCTAGAAGATTGGCACGAACAGCAGTGATTACCCAGGTTTTGCATAGCAGTGGTAAACTCTGGACGTGGTACATAGTTACTTAACTGTGTAACAAATGCTTTAACATATCGTAACAAGGCGCTCACGTGATCAATTAGATTGTCATTCATATGTTGACGGATCTCCTTTCGTTTTAAAGTCTTTGAAAAAAGAAAAAATAATGGCAAAGCATTATTTTCCACAAAATAGCGTTACTTGCAACTATTTTCGGTTATTTTAATCTAAATATGATGAAGAACAAATTTTGTTCCCTCTAAGCACTGAAATCATTAAATTAATAAGAATGAACAAACATGCCCCGTTTTCAAACAGAGAACCTATACAAATCAACTTTCTGACAGGTCAAACCTGTTTGATAACAAATAAATCAGTTGTGCAGCTGCTTATAACTTGACGTTACCATAATTTCATTTCTATACTCAAAATATTGGTAACGGTGGTGCTTATCTTTGTTTTAAAGTTCTAAATTTTGGCAATAGTCATAACAAAATAACAAATTTCAAACGCGTGCTATGATTGGTCGATGCCTTTATAGAAATTTGTCAAGTGTTTGAATGGCCTGGTGAACAGTGGCGTAGCCAGGAAAAATATTAACTCCCGCCTACCCGTGTCGCGCCGAATTTGAAAATTTTGAAATCCATAGCCTTGGAAACAACACTTCCTGCAATTTGCAGGGCGAAATATTTGTTGTAAAATACGTTATAAAAACACGTTTTTATTAACTGCATTCTTAATGTGGCAATTGTCAAAACTGCAACTAGTTAAAAAGGTACTAAAGGTGGCTCAGTGAAAAGTTACGCAGGAGGCAATTGTCCCCTAAAGCATAATGAATCAAACTCATCACTGCCCCTGAATAAACAGAAGAAATTTGGATTAGCACAAAAAATAACATAGTAAACGACACTTCCTAAAATGCATAGGGAGAGATTGTTCTTAACATTCCACTTCTTAGTTTACACTTGTTTAAATTGGGGCAGGTAGACAGGGACGGCTTTATTCTTTAAAGTAATGCTTAATGTTCTCAATGAAGTACCGTGCATTATAAGAACATCAATTTATAAAGAAAAGCTAGCCTCCTGGTTTTCTACAAATTTTTCAACCACCTCATTATGCAACACCTCTGATTCCTCTTTTTGAGCTTGCATTGAATAAACGTTATCTCGTTGCTAACATCAAATTATTAAGTAGTCCAAACATTCTTACTTTGTCATAACTGCATCCAATGGTATGAAATTCATATTTTGTCGGCACTTCATCACAAGTCGTCTTTTCATGGTGTTCAGTATCTTTCTTCGGTATTATTTGATTGCAATATTTACAAATCACGGGATAATTTCCACATACATTTTCTTTGTGATCCTACATGTTAAAAGGAAATACAAAGCAACGACAATTTAATGGATGAAGTTTGGTCTCGTTTCTAAAAAGGCGGTCGAAGTTGATAGTAATTGCTAAGCAATAACAAAGACAATAAAGAGATATATATTACGACACAAAATATTTATCTCAACTTGCTGTGTTCCTGTGATTCATGCACGCACCTTAAGTGAAGCATACGGGACATCTTTACCACAATATTCACATTTTACATTTCGATATTCACATTCATTCTTCAAATGTTCACCAAGAAGAGAGCGAGGTAGCTGAATGTTACACTGTTTATGTATACAGTTGATAAGCGCATGCTCAAACACTTAAGAATGACCCTGAGGAAAAAAAACTTTATAAGTGAAAATGCCACACTTCTTTGATAAATTTCTCTGCCCAACTCACCTCCAATTCTTTGTATGTACCAAACCATTTACACGCTTCAGATGGACAGTGTAATTGAATCCTTTTGAACTCACGCTTCATAAAAGCATTCTGGAAAACCTAGATGGATCCATGGAAATTGATCTTTCGTGAAACAAGATTAAATGTAGCAAAAGACAGAGTCACTTCACTCAAATGCAAGTTAGCACTGAGCGTTAAATGAAACAGTAACGTAAATTTCTTACAAGAACTGTTGGCAAACTTTTTTGAAGTTTAAAGTAGAATTCACCGACGCACTAACGCTAAATGCAAAGGCTCTCAACATGTAGACTCAACAACGAACTCAACATATTCAACACCGTGTTTAGGAGAGTTGAGTAGTAGCTATTAGGCGGTGTTAAGCGTTGTTGAGTGATGTTTGACCTTGCTCAAAATTTCCACTCAACAGCACTCAACATTTGCTTTGTTCCATGGTCACCAAACCGCACCTCAACTTTGTTTATAGCGCAATGAAACTTCTGGTTTTTAAAACAGCACACTCAACATGTTGAGCGAAAGCATGAACACTACCTGTGCAGCTTATATTGTTGTTATTTACCTGGTCACTGAACCGTTTATGTACCTTTATATACGCTGTTGCTAGGCATAGTGGAGTATTTTATTTCATGATCCTACGCGATATCATTTCAAGACTCAACATGTTGAGAGCGTTTGCACACATCGTTTAGCATCACTCATCAAACACAAAACAATGTTTAGCGCATGTTGAGTCAACATATTGAGAACGTTTGCACGTAGCTTTGATAACCTATGTCACAAGACACGACAATATACGTAAATCGATGTATAATTTTTTAGAATTCAAAGAGTAATTATAATTACAGTTGTTAAGCCAACATGCTTATTTAGTCGTGCTATGCTAATTTTTCTTTGCTCATTAACTGACATACCCTGTAATATGGAAAATATTATGTACTAACATTTACAAAGCAGGACTAAACTTGCGGGATGGCTACGCTAATGATCGATAGCAACAAAACTGTAATTGAATTTTCTGTCAAATCTTTGCAATATTTCCACCTAGGTTTTCCTTGGTCAAATTTTCTTTATCTTCAGGACATTTTGGATCAGGATTTCTACAGATTGAAAAAAGGTAAAAACTACAAACAAGAATGATAAATTTCGAAGAGTGGATGGCGTAGCCAGTTAGACAGTTAAATAGAAGGGGGGGGGTCAATATTTCTACATGCATGTTCTGATAAATTACGTTCCTAGGAAAGCAGTTGTTATTTAGGATTATAAAAATTTGATGGACTATGATGAGCTCTCCCTAGTCTCCTACGCAACAGTTTTTAACCGAAGTCGTATCAAGAGATCTAATAAACAATTTTGACGCCCTACCAGCTAGGCACCGACGTAATTGAACAAGATGATACGCAGGAATACTTTGGGATATGTGATACGATATTGGGATGCATAATCAGGGCGTCTATTGAAAGAGCATGTATGACAACTACTATAACTTTCTATAAATGGTTTGTTACATAAAAAATGACGTTACCCGAGAAGATTCTCAATACAAGATTTGCAAAACAAATGTCCACACATGGTCTGCATTGGATTGATGAGAAGGAGATGACAGTAAGTACATATATACTTCGCAGGGATTTTTTCTCGATCTTCATCACAGATCTTGATTCCAGGCATCGTTAACAAAGTCAAAATTTGTTTTCAAAGAAAAAAAGTTTAAAATACGTAACTAGCATACCGAAAAATAAACGCAAACACCACGTTTCTTTAAATACCAAAGAAAAGGGAAAACTACCTGCAGCTTATTGAAAAATAAGAAAGACTTTTAAGCAAATGCACCTTACGTGATCAGGATTTTGAAAGATATTTAGATGTCTTGAGTTTTTTTGCTTTTTCCTTTATTTTCCACTTTCTTAACGCTGTTGTACCAACAATAAGAACTTTTGCTGTCACAGTCAATGACAGCGGAAGACGTTTTGTATAGAGCGGTGTAGCAAATAACAAGAAACGTCGTAGCATGTGCTTGGCATTCAGACTATTAGCAAAGTTTCGGCTTTATTAGATCATTCTGTATGAGAGAGACAGACAGTATGAGAGGCCATTTATATGTCAATTGTTTTCCATTATCGAACAGGAACTTATTTCAGAAAAAAACATTGAAAAGCTCTTTGTAACAATGAATAATTGAATAATGGGAGGGGGGTCTTAGCACCTCAATCTTAATCGAGTCGGGGGCTGCAACCTCCTTAGCCACCCATCCCCCTGCCTTTGGTCACAGTTTAAATGGAAAGTCATGGTTTGTTTGATTGTTGGTTGACTGGTTAATACTGACTATCTTCTGCTATAGTTACATTCAATTATCTCAACTTAACTTTGAGTGACTATTATGTTAACTCTGTACAAGATTCATTGACACTCAGCAAAGAAAATTGCCACTCGACAAATGCAAATCACAAAAATCAGTAGAAATTACCTGTATGTAAATATTCTGTGGCATTTATGTCCATTTTAAGGCTGAACGCATGAAGCAAATAAACTATGTAATGGTTTTCACCATGATGCCTGTAAATACATGGCATTCAAACATCATTAACTTTAAAGCAAGAGGCTAAAATTGTAGGTGTTTTTCCTATAATGGATGGACACCCAAATTTCAAATGAACATGTTCTCTGTTCACACACCCTGATACCATGGTCATGAATAAAATTTTGTTGCTCACAAATCTAGCCAATGCCAGAATATTTTACGTATGTAGACTTATGTATGATAGTGGTATGGTGCCTAATCATGCATTCAATTTTTTACAATCTGGGTGATGTTTTATCCATTCTATTGCAAGATTAACTTGACTTAATAGTATGCATAGAATAGAAAAGGTAACTTACCACTTGAGTCCTGGCCCTGTATCTTACAAGTTTAGTGATTGAGTTAGAACACAGAAGGAATCAATCCTTCTTTGCACCTTAAAAAATACACAAAATGTGAAACTGGGGATAAATTTAGTGCATTCACTTCAAGACAGGGATGGATCAAGAATGATTTTATGGGGAGACATGGGGTGCTTTGATTTGGATAAGACATTTTTGGATGTCATTGTGTCATGATGGGCTTTTATGTTAAATTCTGTTACTTATAGCATAGGTAGCCTAGTGGGAAATATTTTTGAAGTGTGCTCCACAGAACACAAATCATAATTGCTTTTTTCTCAATTCCTTTGTGTATTAATACTTTACAGGAAAATTAGTACAACGAGTAGCCAACGCTAGGAAGAGTGAGAAATTTTGAATTTCAAAGCCTTGGGAATGCCATTTTCAGCATTTTAGAGCAATACAAAATGCTTTATGTGGACATTGTTTTTTTCAAAAAAAAAACTGTAAAGTGAACAATATTTGAATGTTTTGCCAAATGTTAAGGCTCATTAGCATGCTTAGGAGCATAAAATTTACTTTACAACAATGCTATTTCAAAACAGAGATAGTCTTTAAAAATTTCTACCAAATTGTCAGGCATAGACCCCCCTAGTAACCCCCATTCACACCTCTATGTAATGATTTAAGTTAGGAGTGAGGTACTACAAGGGTGAGTCCATGAATGTAAAAAAGCTCAGACTTCAAACCATGCAAGTTTATTGAACCCTTAACCCATTTCCACTTACAGTGGCAGAAAATTCACCTTTTGAGAAAAAATTCAAAATTTTTTTCTGCCAAAGATTAAACAATAAGTATCAGAGAGGAAATTTTGCAATTAAGGACAGCTTAATGCCATTAAAGTTTATGAAGCCTTTCAGTAGACTATTATCTTTTGTAAGTCCATGCAAGTTGTGCTATATAGCAATTACCAGTAGCATTGTACTTGCAAAAAAACAGAATGTAACCAGCAAATCTTTAATCATGTAATTACATGAATGTTAAAATTGGTTCATGTGTCAAGCTTACTGGCTATGATAAATATCTTTCATAGAATCAAAACTAGTTAAAATGTAAATCCAAAATAATTTAGTTTGAAAATTATAATGATCACCAGAAAAATTACCTAGTGATCATGAAAAATACTTGGCTGTTTTGCCAAATTTCAAGGCTTATCTGCATACCTAGGAACACATCTTTACTTTATAGAAAATGTTTTTCATACATCAATAGCCCTTAGCAATTTATGGCAAACAATCTAATATGAGCCGTAGATCAACACACCTTGACATCTCTACATGAGGTGTTCAGTTAGAAAAGGGAACAATATGTGCCATGGGACAACATTTCATGTATGTGAAATAGCTCAGGTTTAATACTATCCCAGTCAAATTGTCAAAATAAAAAGCTTCATGGATCTGAAAGAGTCATAATAACAGGTTATAGTAAACTGCTTCTCATGTAATCAATGTTAGTTTTCTCAAATCTTAAACAATGTGTAGTATAATTGTCCAATGATTGAATGATCAATGATCATAAACTGAAAAGCCCAAAACATTTGTTTATGATAAGGTATATAATAACATGGCGCCTTATAGCTACAGATTTTTTCCATTGAAATACTTGGCCATAAAACGGCCAAGATTCCCCAAGCACTAAAGAAATCATAGCTAAAAGTCCTTCGGCAACAACAATTTTAGAAGCATCAATCTGCTTACCATACGCCATATTGACATAAATCGCATCACATACTCGCATAAATTGACTTTGATATTTTACATTCATGCATACACTTCAGTTGTCCTTTACTTACGATTTTGGATGTAAATTTCTGCTGAGAAATCTCTAACAAAATGATGGCTTTCTTTTGAACATCAATGACTGAAATGTCTCTCGCTCTCTCGCGTCTTTGCCCGAACATTTACAATTCAATTCATTCATAAATTTTTCACCCTCTCGAAAAAAATCGCAAAATCGGAAGTTAACGGATTAACTCGGATATTTTCGGAAGACTTCGGACATTTTCGAAAACCCTCGGAAATATTCGAAAAACATCGGATTATCTTAAAATCGTCGTTGTTTTGAAAGAACTGTCGAGCTATGAAGATTTTTTTTTCATTGAACTATAATTTATCTATACATTCTTTATGAAAATGATGAAAATACAAAAATACGTAATATTTAGAAAAGTTCACAAAAAATTTACAAACTTTTAACATTCATGAAATGTTCATGAAGAGAGCAAAAAGTTCACAAATCTGTGAACAGTGTTCACGATTTGGCAACACTAATTCAGACAGTAAGCATGACAATGTTACCTCAGTTGGCTATCAGTCCAAATCGGTCAAACTAATTACACAGTAAGATAAAACCTTAAACGAACCAATTACACGAGAGCAATTCGACACTCTTATCGGTCCGACCACTCCTCTTATCGATTGATATTATTCCAGATCGTCTACTGATCTGGCTATTGACCAATGGAATGGCTTAAATTAGCCGTTCTTGAACTCCGTTATCGGTCGAACCAGTCGAGCCACCACGCTTATCGGTCAGTTAATATAATTCCAGATATGTTAAAATCTAGTGATCTGTTTGCTAACGTGATATTTACGTAAGATTTCAGATATAAAACAGAATTTTGACAATGAAATTCAAACGATTATACATCAGAAATTTAGTGATCGCAAAAAGTTGTAATCATTAAATTTGATAAGTAATTTCTGAACTATAAACATCAGTCGCGAGAATGATTTGACATACCCTAGATCCGCCCCTGATTTAAATGTTAGAATGACATTAAAAATCAGACAAGTTATATAATACGTTTCAGAAATGAGCAGAAAATACATTGTACACAATGATATACTCACACTCCCTTGCAATGTGCGAAAGTCGTCAGAAATTTAGTATTTTCAAAATAGTATTAAAAAAATAACAAAAGTACACTACCGTTTCTCCAAAAATAGAAATACCAATGACGCTTCCATGTAAAATCATTACAAGTCATGTGCTTTCAGATTTATCGGTCGAGTGACAAAGGACCTGAGTTTCTATGATTTGAGCACTGCCAACGTGACAAAGCAAAGTGTTGACATTCGGCAAGTGTATGATTCGTGCTACAGCAAACAGTGAGCATGAAGCACATTTTGAAAACTTAAGCAGTTTTAAAGTTTGATGTAAATTACTTAAATGTATTATTTTTTTGAATTATGTTCATTTTGTGACAACACATTTACCACGTTATCCACATGTACACGTACCTCCTTTTATAGTTTTAAAATTCATTTGGCAACACTTATTTTAGATCGAAAATGTAGTCAGAATTTATGGAATGAAAATATTGCCAAAAATACTCATAAAAATCGCAGCAGGCAACAGTTATTCTTCACCCAAATCAAGGAAGTGCAACCAATGGTGCTCAAATTTCGACGAACATTCGCTTTGGAACAATCCACATGAAATATGGATATTATTCATATCAAACGAGCGCCAGCGAGTGCACTCTAGTCTCGACAGTGTAGATAAGCTAGAGAACATTCGAGAACATTCGCAGTCTCCATGAACTGTGTATAGTAAGCAGACCAATAAGTCGCATAATCCACTAAGATTTACACAAATTGTTCGTGATTTTCCTCCACCCTTTGTATCAAATATTTTAAACAAATATCGAATTAATGTGCCCTTTTTTGTGCAGGCTAATAAACAAGACGATGAAAATTGGTGGTTGACATGCTCCAGGCAAGCAAGGTGGTTCCAGATTTAAGGTAACATGTCATTATCATCATAGATTGCTGGGTAAAGAAGTATATCGACATATTTTTTCTTTGTTTGATTTTCTCAACTTAGACAGGGAGAACTCAACTTATTTTACTCCGTAATTTCATAGTTAACATATTTGTATTTTCTTGTCTGTGTAAAGTTGAGAAAATACACAACTAACATTATTGGCACGTGCACTTAAGAAAGTGAGCATGTGTCTTTCATTGTCCTTCAATTATAAGTAAAGCAAAATGGAATGGACACATATACATAAGGCGTACCTTTAAAAACGTTAATTTTAGTGCAGGTATTAGATTTGTGCAAGTTTTAAAATTTGTTAACTCAAACTGCATGATTAGATTTATAGTATACAATTTGCTTAGCGTGATATTAAACAATTATTGAATGAAATAGTATATGAATTAAGACTTAAAAAGGTCAAGGTTTGTTCAGTCTACAAACGCTGAGGCAGATGGAACACATTGATGCCTTGATAATTCTTTATATTACGTGAAAACCCAATTCAATGATTGTTTTATTATTTATACAAAAAAGACATTGTTGTTTAAATGTGAAAAAGGTGCCGTAACGATTAAAATTTTCTTCACTTGTTTTGTTTCTCGTGCGTATGAGATGACGTTGTAGCGTGAGATAATTTCTTATATTCGACGTACGTACGTAGTGGCATTCATATAAGTGGATTTATTTGATTGCTTTTAAGTGAATAAAACTAAAAAATACTTTGATCCTTATGTTTATATAAATTAATTTATGAAAATATACACACAACAGACAATTCAGTTTTCCATTCAAATGGCATCTTTACAGACAAATATGTCAATGTTGTTGTTAGGTGGTAAGACATATAAAAATGATATAGATACCATTTCTAATGATCATAAATGTTATTTTCTTGCAGGTCGAAAAGGTAACTTATTGGAATCGACTTAACTAGATTTTTACAGTAAATATATAGTATTAAAACACGCACGCAGCAAAATAGATGAATTAAAGTGATTGTATGGAATTAAACTTTTAGTTCGTATCATTGGAAAGGCTGTTTGTGATTTCACAAATAATGCTCATTAATTGTATGTTAAATGAACGTCGGATAAACGTCTTACGAACGTCGGATAAACGTCGGGTTTAGATTGAAAATAAGTTGCATCCCAACAGTTCATCTAACGTCGCCACCACGTTCCTACGATTTTACAAAACTCACTCAACGTTGGTCCCCGACGTTGAGTAAAACGTTCGACAACGTTGGGACAACGTTGAGACAACGTGATTTTGCTAGCTGGAAGTCCTCAGAACAATGATCAAAGGATGGGACAGTATATACTTTAATGACGTTAGAAACACAGACTTCTTTTGTCCATCAGATGGGTGATTTGTAAACGTGTACCATATGAAACAGATACAGATGCATTTAACTTTAAATTCAAAGTTTTTAACATTGCTTGTTTTGAATTTAAAACTTCTAAAGCATTTTTATGCAATACTATCATGGGAGTTTTGACGTAAAATTTTTATGCAAAGACAAATGCAAGATTGTCGGTGGGAGCTACAACGCATCTACTACTGTTGACATGAAATTATAATCAGTTAAACATTCTTACTTTATCAAAGGACATCAATGGCTTGAAATTCACATTTCGTCGGCACTTCATCTGATCGTACCTTCATCATGTTCAATATCTTTCCTTGGTATCATTTGAGGTAAAATACGTACAAACCACTCGATAATTTTCAAACATTACTTCTCGTTAACTCTATATGTTAAAAGAAATTAAAATATATGAAATTAAAAGAAATTAGAATATTTGTACTGAGTTTGCGTCGAATGATCCAACAAGGAAAGTTCCATCTGATGCATAAAATGGCGTTGGAGACAGATGTTTATGCATCATAATGTGAGGTGAGTTCAATTATTTTTCCGGTTCTCATGGTAAAATGTTTTCTAAAATATTCTGTCTTGAATATTTCTTTGTATAACTCAAAGTTACTTTGATCAGTGAACGAAATTCCTCGTACCTTAAGTGAAACATACAGGACATCTTTACCACAATATTCACATTTCACATGTCGATATTCACATTCATTCTTCAAATGCTCATCAGGAGAGAGGGGTAACCGAATATTTTCTTATGTACGCAGCTGATAATTTGCACGTGCTCTAACTTGAGAATGACCTGACAAAAACTTTAGTGGTAAGTAACAAAGGTTAGGCTTTTTGATAAATTTCTCAAGCTCAACTCACTTCAATTCTTCATAGGCAAACCATTTCCACTGTTCAGAGAGACAGAAATGTAAACAGATATTTTCAATTCACGTTTCGAGGAATTGTCCAGGAAAGCCTGCAGGTTTCATAGAAAGTCAACAGTTCTAAAAAGTAAGTTTTACATTGGTAGATAAAGAGATGTAGACTGGTTTCTTCTTTCGTAATAAATGAAGAGATAAGTGAATTTCGTTTAGAACCGTCCGAAGCAAAGAATTGATACAGCTGCATGGAAGTACGCGTCATAACTATGGAATATTTTCACCTACGTTTTCTTTTCTTAATTTTTCTTAATCTTCGGGACATTTTGGATCAGGACCTCTACAGACTGTGCAAATGTAAACATTTATCCAATGAAAGAATAAAAACTGAGAGTGGGGTGAAGATACCTCAAAGGATGATTTTCAGTTAGCTGTTGAACTTCCTTGTGACGAAACAGAACACAACCTACATGACATGCAATAACTGTACTAACTTTTTCTTAATGTGCCATAGGTCAAAAATGTGTTATTTGATTCAGATTCTCCGCATGTGCTTCTGTATTGATTTGTGGTGGTCTGTACCATGGTGAAATATCAGTCTATAGTTCATCATGTAATCCATAAAATCTTTGAAAACTGATGTATTACATGACTGGACTACTTCACCACCCTCGTTTCTCACAAGGAAATAATAATTGTGATTTAAACAGAAAAATATTTACATGTGTCCTAAAGTTACAGTTAACAAAGTGGGTATCACACCTTCCTAGACTGGCTCCACTGCATCTCTCAAAATATAGCAGAGACTATTGCCTCTAGACAATTTGTGTCTAAAACATACGTTGAAAATTAATTTGTATCTTCAGACTTTTCTTATTACAAAAACCTCTGGACAAAATCCCACCATCATACATTAGCTATAAAAAGTAAAGGTGGGGTAAATATAGCCACCCTCATGTGTCATACAAAGTAGGTCAATAGGCATACTTGGTTAGTTAAAAATGGAGAATCATGGGCACAAACAACAAAATATTGTGTAAAGCTGGTATTTTGCAGAATGTATGCTGTCATCCATATCTCCATGACCATTGTTTTTGCTTCTTAAGTGTTTCCAACATGGCCAGCTTGTATTTCCTCCAATGGATCCTGACCATTGGGAAAGCAATTCTCGATAAAAGAAATATCAGTGAATATAAAAACACAACTTCAAACCTTGGGAATCAGGAAAATCAAAACAACCCACTTACCCTTTGATGTTTTAAAGAATGTGGTCAAAGATATGTCTTGAAGAGACCAATGTGTGAATACTCAGTAATACTTGCTGAAGCTCAGACTTGGCAAAAATGGCAAATAAGGAGAAAGTTTCCCATTGGAATACAGGAACCTGGCGAGAAAGATTATCACTTCCAGTTGTGCTCTCTATTTTTACAACTAAGGTTGCCACATGAAGTGCTTTTATCAGCCATAGTACCAACTTTGATACTTTGACTATTGGCTTATCAGTACCATATGATGGGAATACTTTAAACAGGAGCAACAGCAGTGACAAGTGACAATAAACTTTGATTGCTTCCTGAGGTTGCTTTCTTCTTTGTTCACCCTGATTGTTAGAACAATACATGTATACATTATATTTTGTCTGTTGAGAGACACAAATAAAATGATTGATAACACTGGAAGACTAAATAATGCATATGTACAGCACAATCATACTTTTGTGACAGGTTTGTTTCATCTTGAGATTCTAGCTCTTCACTTTGGTAAGAATCTGTTTCAATGTCATCGTTGTCAGAACCTATGGACCACATTTATATGTTAATAAAATTTGTGGTATATAATTTCAGCTATTAGCATTGAAATCAAACTTCACCTTCATTTTCCATCTCACTACCAATGTCAATATCCATATACATGTTATCATCATCACTACCATCCTGCTTTTCTTCCTCATTCTGATTAACCACCTTGACACATTTTACTACTGTTCCACCAGTTTACGTAATTTCTTTTTTTCTATGAAATCGTGATATACACAGGTGTTACAATACTCATATTTTAGTAATTTAATTGCAGCCATGAATTTATTTAAATGACATAGAGACACCACAAGAATATATGTTCTTGAAGAAACCAAATTAAATGTAATGAAACAATTTACTTTCAGCAAGTTGTTGGATAATACCATTCTTGCTTTCTATCGTTCTCTTCAATTACCTCATGTTTTCTTTGTATTGAACACATTGCTTGCAATATTCTTCTTCAGTTTGGCAAAACCCATTCTGAACCTACAAAAAAGATATAATCTTTAGATCTTACAATCTACTAGTGTAAAAAGTCTTTTGAATAAATTATTTGAATAAATTCAATACCTGTACTTATGCTTGTACTGCAATTGTTTGAACTTGCAAGACATCATCAACAAATTCAACATCAGTATGACTGTCTTCCAAAGAGGTAGCACTTTCAGCTCCAAAAGTGTCTTGACTAGAAGAGCAAGGACCTGCTTCTGTGCTAGACAAAATATCTCTAACAATCTACAACAAAATACAATATGGTATCAACTGCAAACATTAAATTTCCATCCCAAAATCTTTGACGAATTCAAAACAAGCTTCCTTCATCGAAGTTATCAGTCTCACGCGGAATACATATAGGATTCAAAACAAAAATCTTTACCTGTCTACGTTCCTTTCAGAAGGCGCACTTTCTTTCATCAGTCTTTCTGAGAGATGAACAGAAGGAAAAGCAAACACACCATTTTCGACAAACACCAGTCTACTTGTTTTCCCTTGCAAACTAGTATACCGTCTGGTCAGGGGCGGATCTAGGATTTTTCAAACATCAGTCATAAAACGTCGAAGGCGCTCCGCACCTGGGGGGGTCTGAGGCATTCTCCCCTGAGAAATTTTGAATTTCAGAGCCTTCAAAATGCCATTTTCAGCGTTTTAGAGCAATACAAAATGTATTTGTGGGCATCTTTTTTGCGTTAAAACAACACATTTTGCTTACGTTTTTTTCAAAAAAAAAATAAATGACGTGAACAATACTTGAATGTTTTTCCAAATATTTAGGCTCATTATCATGCCAAATATATGCCTCATTAGCATGTCTAGGAACGTAAAATTTATTTTACAATAATGCTATTAAAAAACAGATATAGTCTTTAAAAACTTCTACCAAGTTGTCAGGCATTGACCCCCCTAGAGACCCCCATTCAAACCTCTATGTAATGAGTTTAGTTAAGTTAGAAATTTGGTACTACAAGTGACAGTTCATAGATATAGAAAAGCTCAGACTTCAAACCATGCAAGTTTATTGTAACCCTTTACCCATCTCCACATCAGTGCCAGCAAATTCACCTTTTGCGAAAAAACTCAAAATTTTTCTGCCAAAGATTAAGCAAAAATTATCAGAGTGAAAATTTGCAGTTAAGGACAGCAATGCCATAAATGTTTATTAGGCATTTCACTAGACTATTATCTCCTGTAAGTATATGCAAGGTGTGCTATATAGCAATCACTAGTAGCATTGTATTTGCAAATACAAACAGAATGTAACCAACATGTCTTTAATTATATAATTACATGAATGTTAAAATTGGTTCATGCGTCATGCTTACTGGTTATGATAAATATCTTTTCATATGATCAAAGCTTGTTTAAATGTAAATCTGAAATAATTTAGTTTAGAAATTATAATGAT